GTGCATTTGATTGGCCGCTTGCGTCACGGGGCGACTCTCTCTTCCTGCCTGCGCTGGGGGACTAGCTGTGGGTTCTTAAAACCCTGGCCCTGCAAAGGCCTTCAGGGGCTCTCTCCTCTCTTGTTGCGCAGATGCGGCAACTTGAGCCCAGAGAGGGGAAGAGACTTAAGATCCACAACTTAATGGAAGAGTTGAGTCTAGAACCCAGGACATGTGACTCTCAGCGCCCGCTGCCGCGAAGCTAACGCGAAGGAAGGAGCAGAGACGGGCGGGCGCCAGGTGTGCGTCCCGTCCTCCTTGACCCACAGGGCAGGCAGTAGGTAGAGTTGTTTGCTTTTTCCAAACCTGAATCTTTCACTCTCACCTGAACCACGGTTACCCTCTTTGATGGCCGACACCTGCACCCACCTTCTCGCTGGCCTTCCTGCTCGCCGCCTCACCTCCTTGCCCCAAGGCTCCCTTTGCCGTTCTCCCTCCCGACCCAAGGTTGTTAGCTCACTCACCCTCTGACGTTATCTCGCCTGGTGGCCCTTGTGCCACATCGTGAACCAGAGGGGCCAGTCTGCCTGGGACTGCTCAGCAGCTGGTAGATTCGAAAGGGGGAAGGTACCACAGCTGGCACCATGGGGCAGATCCAGGGCGGCCCCACAAGCCTGCCCATCCTGAGCCCCCTGAGTGACCAGCTGGGAGGAAGGCCTGCAGGAGACAGCACCCGACAGCACAGGCCTGCAGATTTTTAATGCTCATACAGGGTCTGGCCGGGCTGGAGGGATGCCTCGGGAGACCACCAAGAGGAGTGTATCACTTGCCGTGAGTCCCAGCTCTCTCTCCATCAGACATCCCCTGGCCGCATGGTCTGTCTGCCTCTCTCCCTGGTGGGAATGACAGCATCCACAGGGCCACCTCGGCCTGAACCAGCTCAACTCCGTCCCAGGCTTGGGGTGCTGTGAGAGGCAGACCTGAGCCCCCTGGGGCCTGGGGCACCGGCTTCCAGGTCTCTCAAAAGGCAGTGGACACCTGCAAGGAGAGGCGTGGACTCAGAGAGGTCACACGGCCAGGGGGCTGGCCGGTTCTGGCCAAGGCCCTGCCCCCAACTCTTCTCTTGCCTCCTACCCGTCCTTCTAAATGGCTGGGACTGCCCAGAGACCCCAGGACTCACCTAGTAGAGTACGTCCTCAAAATCCAGCTGCAGGTAGCGGAGCAGGCGGGGTGGCAGGGGAAGGCGGGGGAGGGCGTGGGGCAGGCAGGCTGCCAGGTGGGCACGGAGGGCACAGCGGCTCAGGTGCTGCAGGGATCTGGGCTGTCTCACCAAGGCGAAAAGGGACGAGTAGAAACGGTGGTGCTTCTGGGGACAGAAGGAGGGGCTCAGCGAGGCAGCCTTGGACAAATGGCACCCATTTCTCCTAAAGCGGGGAGGCTGGGGGCCAAAAGGTGTCTACGGGAGCCTATAAGAAGAAGTGTTTTGGGGGGGGCACCTGGGTGGCGCAGTCGGTTAAGTGTCCGACTTCAGCCAGGTCACGATCTCGCGGTCCGTGAGTTCGAGCCCCGCGTCAGGCTCTGGGCTGATGGCTCAGAGCCTGGAGCCTGTTTCCGATTCTGTGTCTCCCTCTCTCTCTGCCCCTCCCCCGTTCATGCTCTGTCTCTCTCTGTCCCAAAAATAAACATTGAAAAAAAAAATTAAAAAAAAAAAAAAAAGAAGAAGTGTTTTGGGTGTTCACTCTGTGGGTTTTCTTCTTCTGGGATGTGAGCAGGTCTCTGGTAGTTTCTGAGGGGCAGGGTGGGGGAACCGACAGAGCTTCCCTGTAGGAGGTGGGAGTCTCTTGGGGCCGGGCTGAGTGACTGCATGTTTTCAGGGTCCTGGAATCTGACCTGCAGAGTTTCAGGAGGCACCAGGGCCATGGCCTCCTCGGGAAGCTGCGTGATGCTGTAGGTGTTCATCAGGACCTCGATGGTCCTCGGAGACGTGCACCAGCGTTCCAGCACCTGGAGGAGGCAGAGACGCATCAGTGCTCCTGGGGTTACCACACACTGCAGGCTCCCCAGCCAGGCCACACGGGATGATCAGACATCCCTTGGTGTCCCAATAGGACAGCTGCCATGGGTTGAGTTGTGTCTCCCCATCCCCCACCCCCCAACACGTTGAAGTCCTAATCTCCATTAGAAATCCCCTATTTAGAAATAGGATCTTTGCAGTTGTGATCAAGTTAAAATGAGGTCATTAGGGAGGGACTTCAGAGAGAAGGGACAAGGCCAGGAGAGGCCTGATGAAGGAGCGGTGGTGGAGTCCAGTTGGATCCAGATTTGTTCTTTCATTTCCTCGTTTAGTAAATATTTACGGAGGGCCACTATGGGCCGAGCACTGGAGCCCCAACCATCAGGATGACGGACAGGTCCTTGTCAGCTGGGAACTTCTATTTCCATGGGAAAAAACAATAACCACATAAATAACCACTTAACAGCTAAGCCGCCACCATGAAAAATAAGTAGGGGTGGCGACTGAGCGTGGTTGGGAGAGTGCTGTCCTAGATGGGTGGTCAAGAAAAGCCTCTCTGAGGAGGTGACCTGATTGGGTGAAGAGTGAGCCACGCTGGGAGAGCAGCCCATGCCAGAGACTGCCCACAAGGAAAGAAAGACAGCCGCAGTCGGCCTGAGCGCGCGCGTGCACACACACACGTGCACACACCATCATACTCACCGGGGTCTGCACGGAATATCTGGAAACATTTGTTTCATTCATTCCGTGTCTTCTGCCGTATCTCAAGCTATAGGCAGTGGCCGCAAACCCTTTGTAAAATCTGAGAACAGCTAAGTGCTATCTCTCTGGCGGCGTTCCTGTGCATAATACCCGTCTCCCCCCCCACACTTACATGTAACATTGGGGGCTTTAAAACCCTTCTGCCTGGCAGGCTGGGAATGCGGCATGTGCCTAGTGCTGCTGGGTGGCGGGAGCAGGGCCCCCGAGAAAGCACCGCACACACCTGAAGCCCTCTGCTTCTTGCCCTGCATCTTGGCAGTGCTCTCTGGAGCCCCATCCCATCTGCCCAGAGCAGGTCTCTGACTTCCTCCTCCTTAGATCTAGGAAAGAACAGTCTGGTCACATCTGGCTCTCCTGCTCTTACCTGCTACTCCTGTCTGCTGTTCAGGCGGGGCCTCCCAGCCCACGCTGGTTCCTGTCTCTGTGCTGCCTGGAATGCCTGGGCCCTCCTCCTGTATTTCCAAGCCCTACCCACTCCAAGTCCCATCCCTTCCAGGAAGCCTCCTGCGGCCGTTCCGCCTGAATCTCTCTCCCTATATTGGGATGATGCCAGCTTTCCAGAGCTTTTCACACATTATTTAACTTAGAACAGCATGAGCTAACAGGTGTTGAGCACCGATTCTAGGTTAGGCCCTGTCTAAAGGGCTTTTTTTTTTTTAAGCTTATTTATTTTGAGAGAGAGAGAGAGAGAGAGAGAGAGAGAGAGAGAATATCCCAAGCAGGCTCCATGCTGTCAACACAGAGCCCAACTTATTGGGGCTCGAACTCATGAACTGTGAGATCATGACCTGAGCTACAATCAAGCATTAGACACTTAACCAACTGAGCCACCCAGGTGCCCCAACTGTCTAAAGGGCTTTATATGGGAGCGCCTGGGTGGGTCAGTCGGTTGAGTGTCCAACTTCGGTTCAGGTCATGATCTCACGCTCGTGGGTTCAAGCCCCACGTCGGGCTCTGTGGTGACAGTTCAGAGCCTGGAGCCTGCTTCAGATTCTATGTCTCCTTCTCTCTCTGCCCCTCCCCCACTCACGCTCTGCCTCTCAAAAATAAATAAAATGTAAAAAAAAAAATGTTAAGGGCTTTATATGGATGAAACTCAGTTCTCATACTGAGCCTATGAAGCAGGCACGTTCTTCTGTCCTTGTTTTACAGATAAGGAAACCGAGGCCCAGAGAGATTAAGCAACTTGCCGAGGGTCACGCGGGTAGTACGTAAGGCTCCAGAGCCTGCATTCTTAGTCACCACCTACTTCAGAGTTTGTTGGGAAAACTGTTGGGAGGAACCCACGTAGCAGGCAACACACTTTAGAAAGTGTCTGGTGGTGGTTAGAGTTATGCTCACTCCTGTTATCTGCGAGTCTCCTATACCTATAGCTTTTTATCACTGGTGGGTAGGACACTGTATTGCATGCAAGGAACACACGTTCAAAGAGTTCCAGTGACTTCCCTATAGCCACAGGAACAAGCTCCGGTTTCCTGAGCACTCAGTGGCTCCTGGAGAGCTGGCTGGGCCTGGCAATGATCACAGATGACTTCTTTCAGGGAGACAGGGACCTCTGGCAAGTGTGGGGCCACTGAAGATCATAGGAGATGGAGGCAGACTCCTTCCTGAACTTTTTGATCACCTGGGGCGAGGCGCCCAGAGGAGGGGAGGAATGGGGCACTTGGTTGTGCCCACCCCCTTGGTCCTTAAGGCAGGGCAGAGCAGGGCGAAGAGACAGGGGCAGTGGGGTCCCAGGAAATCTGTTTGCTGCTCTGCCTCCTTCTTCCAACCCCTCCCTGAAGGGGAAATCATTAGCTGTCAGAGCCACCGTCAGATTACAGGGAATTGCTTGTCTCCTAATTATCTGGTGTTAATAGGAGATTAATTAGTGTTAATTGTTGATTTTCTTGTATTTTCCCAAAGGGGAGACCAATCTGCCGAACTCTCGGGCTGTTTAATTATTTGGTCTTGCTTAGGAATCTAGACAGATGCTTCTAGGTTTGTGAGTGACGGGGAAAGGCAGGGCCAGCAGAGGAATGTCCAGGACCAGGCAGGGCTGGACAGTTCAAGCCCAGAGATGGGGCAGGGGACCTGCTCACAGCCTGCTGCTCTGTATCCATTCTGACTGGGCTCTTCAGAAGTGGGGGCGGGGGGGGGCAGTCCCTGCCCCAGGCCCAGCACCCTCTGTGACATTACATGGCCCCCTCCAGACACGACACGGCATGGGACAGGGCCCCCTGCCAGGACATCAGTAGCACAGATCTTCAAGTTGAACCCACTATGGGAACATTTTATGTTAATAAGATAAGATACAGACAGGAAATTGACGGTGAAAGGCTTTTTCTCCCATGCCAGGTTAGCAGCTGCTGGTCTGGGTGATGCATGTCCTGCTAAGCTCTCAAAAACAGGGACCATGTCTGTCTGCAAAAGGTCAGGAGGCTTTGAACCTCATGACCCAGGCTCATCGCTCTGCTCTGGGAAGCCTCTCCTGGGCACAGAATGTCTCACTGAACGGATCCCACGGCCAGGCAGAGCTTCCTGCACGATTCTTTCATTGGCTTACCCCCCTGATGAAGAAAGGACTCCCTGAAGCCCACATCAGTCCTGGTTCCCGTCTTTTCAGATGCATGACAATCTGGCCCCCTGCCCTCAATCCACCTCCATCACACACGTGTGCATGCACACATGCATGCATACACATTTATGCACACGCACGTGTATATGCATGTGTGAGCACGTGTGTGTGTGCACGCACACACACACATACACGACACACACACATACACCCCTCCTGCTGGTCTGCGTCCTTGTCTTTGCCCCCTACTGGGCTTTGCTTGCTTGATGAATGAAAGATGATGAACTGAGTCACGTGCTCAGATGTGTCAGGCTGCATCTAGAGCAAGTGGGAACACAGGTCTGAGTCCCCTCATCCCCTCCCCATCATGGCCCTCCCCTCGGGCCCCAGCCCCATACCTTGGGGAGGGCCCCAGGCCAGACACGGACGGCACCATGGTTAAGCAGAGCTCGCACTGCGTGCTCTGGGCTCTGGGCCAAGGCCGCAGCTGGGCCCTGTAGAGCGCAGTGCAGGGGCGTGTGTCCCCCATAGTCCATGGCATTGGCACTGACACCGCAGGACAGGAGCAGCTCCACGACGGCCGCGTGACCACGGCGACAGGCCAGGTGCAGGGGCCGGCGCTTGTCCTGGTCGGCAGCATCGGCCTCGGCTCCAGCCGAGAGCAGCAGGTGGCACAGCTGGAGGCAGCGGGCGGTGGTGGCCTCGGCCTCGGCGGAGGATGTGCAGCGGATGTCACAGGCAGCCAGCAGTGGGGTCCAGCCTTCGACATTCCGGGCATTCGGGCATGCCCCCCGTCTCAGAAGGAGTTCCGCCAGTTCCACGTGGCCCAGCCGGGCGGCCACATGCAAAGGGGTCTCCTCCTCCTCCTCAGACCGGCCATCCACTTTCGCCCCAAACCTCAGGAGCAGTTCTGCACACCTGGTGAGGGCGAGATGGCAGTGGGGAGGAAGGGCCGTGCACTCCTACCGGTCCGAGCAAAGCAAAGCAGGGGGGAGGGGGGCGTCTTGATGGATCAGGCGGGCTCATTCTATTCTCCGGCCCACATTCCTATTTGTTTAAAATTCTCCATGAAAATTTTAAAAATACTTCTGTTTACTCGGGAGAGGAAAGGACCATGATCACTGGGTGTGATCTCCGAGAGGCTGGACTAGAACACAACGAGCAGTAACAATGTGGGCTTGTATAGAGCTGTGCTGTCCAGCCACGCACAGCTATTGAGCCCCTGTACTATGACGCCTCCTAATTGAGACGTGCTATTAGTAAAATACGCACCCAGCTTGAGGACTTGGTACAAAAAAGAGAATGTAAAATGTCTCGTTAATTTTTTTTTTTATATATATCGAGTACATGTTGAAGTGACAACATTTTGGAGATACGTGTTGAACAAAATATATTATTAAAATTAATTCCAGCTGTTCCACAGATATTTGTATGCCCACATTCACAGCAGCGCTATTCACAACAGCCGAAATGCGAAAGCAAGCTAATCGTTCAGCGGCAGATCAATGGATGAAGTGCAGTTATCTACAGGGGTTGCCTGGATGGCTCAGTGGGTTAAACATCTGACTTCGGCTCAGGTCATGATCTCACGCTCCTGAGTTCGAGCCCTGCATCGGGCTCTGTGCTGACAGCTCGGAGCCTGGAACCTGTTTTGGATTCTGTGTCTCCCTCTCTCTCTGACCCTTCCCCCCGTTCATGCTCTGTCTCTCCTTGTCTCAAAAATAAATAAACGTTAAAAAAAAAATCTTTTAAAAAAGTAGCTCATTTAGGGGCGCCTGGGTGGCTCAGTCAGTTAAGCATCTGACTTCAGCTCAGGTCATGATCTCACGGTCCGTGAGTTCGAGCCCTGCATCGAGCTCTGTGCTGACAGCTCAGAGCCTGGAACCTGCTTTGGATTCTGTGTCTCCCTCTCTTTCTGCCCCTCTCCTGCTCACACTCTGTCTCTCTCTCTCTCTCTCAAAAATAAACAAACATTAAAAAAAATTTTTTTAAAGAAATGGTTAGGATGGTAAATGTTATGTTAGAAGTATTTTACCTCACTTAAAAATTTTAATTTCATCTATTTCTTTTTTTAAGATTTTATTTTTAAGTAATCTCTATACCCAATGTGGGGCTCGAACTCACAACCCCGAGATCAAGAGTCATAAGCTCTACTGACTGAACCAGTCAGGCACCGCATTACTGTTCATCTTTTTTTTTTTTTTTAAGTTTACTTATTTATTTTGAGAGAGAGAGGCAGAGGGAGAGACAGAGAGAATCCCAAACAGGCTCCTCACAGTCAGTGCAGAGCCTGACGCGGGGCTCGAACTCACGAGCCATGAGACCACGACCCGAGCCGAAATCAAGAGTCAAGACACTTTACCGACTGAGCCACCCAGGTGTCCCATATTTCATCCTTCTGATAAAGCTACTAGAAAATTTTAAATTACATACGTGGCTCACATTATATTTCTATTGGAACACACTGGTATGGAATATACCTTCAACCATTGTAAGTCAGTGGAGTCTGCTGAAGGATAAATTAACAGGAGGGAGGTTCACAAAAAGAATAAAAATTTGGCCTCATTCAGAAGCAAGATGTGAAATTTGTCAAGTGTGCAGTCAGTAGAGAGAGGGCCTCTATTGTATGTACAGTTCGTTCATGGATTTGCCAAGGCTCCGATTGCCAGGATTCCGTGCTCATCAAAAAATTGAGTGATGGAGCGCCTGGGTAGCTCAGTCGGTTGAGCATCCGACTTTGGCTCAGGTCATGATCTCACGGTTCGTGAGTTTGAGCCCCGCGTCGGGCTCTGTGCTGACAGCTCGGAGCCTGGAGCCTGCTTCGGATTCTGTGTCTTCCTCCCTCTCTGCACCTCCCCCACTCACACTTTGTCTCTCTCTCTCTCTCTCAAAAATAAATAAACATTAAAAAAAATTTTTTTTAATTGAGCGAGGACTCATCCCCCAATGCTTCCTACACGTAGGGCATAATTATTTGAGTCGCAGTAAAGGAATTTCCCGCACACGAAATAATACATTGTCACATGGGTATGTCCATCGGTTTCTTGTGAGTTTAGTTAGTTGAGCTTGGTCCCTAGGCCCATTGTATCTGAAGGTACCTGCCAATAGGGAAATGCCAGACCTGCCAAGGCAGGACGAGACCCTGCCCACAGGGATTGATGCATGCCCCAACTGGGGGCTGTTATCCTTTACAGACTATCCGGATCACTCCTGGACGGTCAGCTCTCTGAGGGCAGGATCATGCCTCAGTTCCTGCTGTACTGAGCACGGTGCCTGGAACGTTGGATAATCTCAGAAAAAACAAAACTTCATAGTATACCGCCTCCCCACAATGGATCTGGACAACTTCCCCAACATAGGCTCCGAGGGTGGGTCCCCGCCACAGTCCTCCGACACCCCTGGGGAAGCAGAAGCTGTCCCAGGTACGGGCTGGTCCGAAGTTCCGGGGCCAGCTGGCAGGATGGTTTGGGGAGTAACCACATCCTGACTCTCCACCTGAGCCCCGTCTCCTCTAGCCCGACTCACCAGGCCTGCCAGCCCCCAACATGTTCCCTCATCCTCCCCGAGGTCACCTCTCTGCCTGCCCGAAGAGTGGAACGGGGGTTGGGGCGAGGGGTCACTCACTCGAGGGTGCCAGCCCCCCGGCAGAGGTGCAAGGGGAGTTTGCCGTCCTGGTCAGGGATGTTGGGGTCGGCTCCTGCCACCAGCAGTACGTGGACACAGGCAGCGTGGCCCGCGGCACAGGCCTCGTGCAGGGCGGTGCGACCCCCGGGGGCACTGTCGGGCCTTGCCCGCCGCCTCAGCAGCAGCCGCAGAACGTCCGTGTGGCCCCGGCTAGCCGCCACGTGCAGCGGGGTGGTCAGCTCCTCTTCGTACGTCAGAGACCAGAGTCCTAGGGAGAGAGGGACATGGGCCTCAGACCCTGAAGACAGGCAGAGAGCAGCAGAGGAGGTGGGCAGAGGCTGGGAAGAGGGAGCTCAGGGCTCTGTCCCCAGCCTCCCCACTCCCGCTCAGCCCCCCCCCCCCCCAGTGCCCCTGGCCCGTACTCAGAGCCCGGATGTTGAAGCGGAAATCCCTCCATCGCTCTGGGTCGCTGGTGTCAAAAACGGAATCCGGAGCCAGGCCGGTGCTGGAATCGGCGAGGAGGCGGGAGACAGAGCCCGCGTCCCCGGCCAGCACTGCCTGCCAGAAGGCCAGGGCAGGTCCCGAGGCCGTACGGGTGACGATGGGTCCCGAGCCAGACTCTGGACGCTCTGCAGACCCTCCGTTGGGCCTCTCCACCAGCCTGGCACAGAGGGTGTGTCTGTCACCGGGGCGTTCCCCCGGCCCCCTGCACTCTTCTGGGGACCAGCTCATGAGGACAGAGTATGAGCTTGTGGGAAGAGGCGTAGGGGGAGGAGTGGGAGGGAGGGGGCAGCGGCAGAGAGAGAGGGAGAGGGGGAGGGAAACGGGGACGGATGGAGGGAGAGGGTCTCTGTGTCCCCGAGCTGAGCCTGACCCGGCCACGCGGTTCAGCAGAAGCTATTCTGGGCTCCGCATGACTTCACTCCTGGGCCAAGGCTTAGGCAAGCCTCTGGGTAGGGGAGAAGTAGCCAGGGGCTTCTCCTCTTCCTCAAGCACTTGGTGTCTCTGTGCCTGATGGGGTGAACCCCGGCCTCCGGTCCTCAGCCCTCCACTCCCGGCAGCCCCTCACCCCTCTGGTGACTGCTCCAACGAGGCTCGGCGGCCCGGTGCTCCAGGACCAGGTCGGCTGTGCTGTGCGGGGGAAACAGCTCCTGCAACCTCGCCAGGTCTCCCGTGTACAGGGCGTTCTGCAGGGCCATATCACGGCACAGTAGAGGCGACGGCCGAGTCGGCTCCCGGGCCGGGCCGGACCGGGACCCCCAGACCCGGCAGGCAGGGGCCGAAGGACGGCTCCCCAGACGGTGTCCCCAGGGGGGAGGGGAGCTCCTTCTTCCAGGCATAGCCAGTTTCTGGGAGAGAGGGAGCCAAAGAAGCAGGCCTCGGGACGATTCCACTGGCTGACGGGGCCTGAGCCAGGCTGAGGCCTGGAGTGGGAGGGGCAGGGGAGCACACACAGGCCCTACCATAAATAGCCCCGGCTGTCCTAGCTGTCGGTCCCAGGGAAGGAGGCTTCAGGCTGGAGTGGGAATTAGGGAGGAGCTGGAGAGCAGAGAGGGGATCAAGCCCCCCGACCCTGAGTTTCACCCTGGAGTTGACCGCTGTCAGGGTTGAAAGGGTCACCCAGATCGTGGGATCCAGCCTGCACTTTCACAGGTAAAGGAAAACGGAGCCCACACGTGCCAAGTGCTTTGCCCAAGGTGTGAGTTTGTTGCAGATCCGGGACCAGAATGGGGGCGGAGGGCGGAGTGCGGGGGCTCTCAAGCTGCCATTTTCATACCCTCTCTCATCGATCATGTGCTTCACCAAGCCAGCCTCCAGTGGCCTGGGCTCTGATCCCAGAGGGAGGGCATGTGGGTGCCAGGAAATTCTTCCTGCCCTCCCAAATGTCACCAATTAGCCCCGCACACCCTTCCCCCCCAAACCAAGGAAAGAGTCCACGGTAGTGACACATGGCAGAGAGCGCCCTACTCCACGAGGCACTCCTTCTAGGGGCTCTCTAGAAGACAGACCTGGGGCGCCTGGGTGGCTCAGTCGGTTAAGCGTCTGACTTCGACTCAGGTCACGATCTTGCGGTTTGTGAGTTCGAGCCCCGCGTCGGGCTCTGTGCCGACAGCTCAGAACCTGCTTCGGATTCTGTGTCTCCCTGTCTCTCTGCCCCTCCCCTGCTCATGCTCTGTCTCTCTCTGCCTCAAAAAAAATGAACAAAACCGTTAAAAAAATTTCAAAAAAAAGTAGAAGACAGACTTCCGCCTGGAGGATATCGCCTGGAGGATAGAGGCTCGGTCCACAGGCAGCAACAGAAACTCCCAGTGTCCACGCTAGGTGCTGCCCCCCTCTGGCCACCCCAGGTCTGACCCTTCCATCTCCCTGGATGTCTCCTGGATCTCCCATGTCTGCCTGCCAAGGTTAGAGGGGCCTCAGTCAGGGGGTGAGAAGGAGGAAATGGGTCTCAGGATAACAAGACTACTTTCATTTGGAGAGATGAGAAGGAAACCAGGGAGAAAGAGAACTCGAAACCCATCCCCGGGCAGCCCCACCACCTGCCCTGGGCTTGCTCCTCGGGTCTCATCTCATCTGGCTCTCATTGGCCTCCATGAGCGGCAAAATATACCTTGACTTCTATTCACACACTCTTTTTTTTTTTTTTTTTTTTTTTTTTTTAATTTTTTAATTTTTGAGACAGAGAGAGACACAGCCTGAGCAGGGGAGGGGCAGAGAGAGAGAGAGAGGGAGACACAGACTCCGAAGCGGGCTCCAGGCTCTGAGCCGTCAGCACAGAGCCCGATGCAGGGCTTGAACCCACGAACCGCGAGATCATGACCCGACCCGAAGTTGGACGCTTAACCGACCGAGCCACCCAGGCGTGCCAAACTGACACGCTCTCTATGCTGCTTCCTCTGAGAGAGCCCGGGGCTCTCAGCCCTCAGTGCCCCCAACTCTTCCCTCCCCAGCAAGGGGGACCCACAGATGAACTTCCATCCAGGGGCGCGCGGCCCTGGGTCCCATCCTCTGGTCCCACCGGCCCCCTGAGGGACAGGCTCTGGGTCAGAGGAAGAGCTCAGGCAGGTGGGCAGGGGGCGTTTCAGAAAGATGTGGGGACCACACATTTCCCCAGAGCCAGTGCCTACTACACCATTTCTCCCTAGAACCTTCCTCCGCCCCACCCCACTGCTGCCTAAGAGTCCTCACCACCCCCGACACACTTTTGCAGAATAATCAAACCCTAGAGCACCGGGGACCTCGGAGGGTGGCTGGTCCAACCTCTCCTCGCTTTACACGTAAGGAAACTGAGGCCCAGAGACCAGAGGGGGCTGTGTAAGATCACACAGAGACTTAGTACCGAGTGAGGCGAGGACCAGGGGCTGCCGACAGCCACACTTGGTTTTTTCTTTTTCCAGACTTACCGGAGACCCCCCTTTCTCCTGGCTCTTTTTCTTTTCCTATTGTTCTCTCTTAACACCCCCCCCCCCAGGAGGGAGAGAGCTGGGGAGCCAGGACAGGAAATGACAGGAGATGAAGGCCTGGGTGGGGTCAGAGGACAAGGACCTGGGACACGAGCAGAGAAGGCTACGGGTGGGCGAGGACTGAGGACCAGGAGGGGTGCGGCGTGAGGGGGAGCCTGGGCACAGGCAGGGGGCACAGAGCAGGGGCGGGAAGCATGGAGATGGACAGAGAGAGCTGCTCCCCAAGCCGTGTGGGCGTTTATGTCTCTGCCCCCGGCCCTCCACCTGCGGGCACCGCCCAGTCCCCCTTGCTAAGCCCGGGAGCCCTGGCCTCAGCCATCATTTCCTTTTCTTCTCCTTTGCCAGCTTGGCCTCCTCAGCATCCTGGTCCTTGCTGAGTTTTAGCCTCTTCTTGCCCAGTGGGGTCTTGAAGTACCAATCCTGGGTGGGAGGAAGAGGGAGAGGGTAAGTGCAGCGGATCCACCCCTGCTGGCCTGCCTCCTGACCTTGCCTTTCCCTAGCCACAGACGTGTCCTCAGCAGCCTTTTCTCCTCTCTTCCCGGAGTCAGGCATCCTGCTGGAGTCCTGGTTTCCCTTGTTCACCCCCCCCCAACACTCCGGACCACAGGGTCCACCACTGCCGGGGGCGAGCCCTCTGTCCTGTCCTCCCACGGCCATCCTGCCACCCCGGGGCACCGGTGGGCACTGATGAGGTGGAGAAAGTGAGTGTCACCTGGTGCCAGGGCCAACCAAGGGCTCTTAACACACAGGTGGCACTTTCAGGCTCCTGCCCTTGAGGAAACCGGGTGAGCGGGTCCTGCCCATGTTTCCGTCCCTGAGATTTCTTGTTCCCTGCCCAGCTCAACTCCATGGGGGAGCAGAGGGAAGGATCTAAGGGGTGCTGTGGGCCTGGGACTTCAGGGGGCTGACCCCCTGGTTGTGCTGGCCCGAGACCCTCCCTCCTCCCCCTCCCTGCTCCCCCCACCCCTAAAACCTCACCTTCAGGGACTCCTCCTCTTCCCGGTACACCGGCTCCAGCTTCGCCAGATGCCCCAGGAACTCCGAGGCCACCAGGGGCCTCTTTGACAACTGTAGGACCCGCCGCTCGGTCAGCACTGATTGGACAGCTTGGTGAATGTGGCCGGGTGTGTACCCATCAGATACCTTGGCCAGGGCACTGATGTCCAGGCCCTGGGTCACGTGGACTCTGTGGGCCTCTATCATCTGCCTCCAGAGCACTGCAGACATTGGGGGAGGACACAGGGCAGGGAGAGGCAGTGAGTACCTCTGCCTGCATTCGGAACCAGGCTTCTGGAGAGCAGCTCTCTGTTCATCGCTGCCTCCCCTCCCAGGAACGTGAGACTCATCGTCTCCACTTAACACGAGGAAATGAGACGCTGAGGACTTAAGTGGCCGGCCCAGGACCTCGGAGCTGGGCCAGGGCCCGGGCCACTGGGCTGCTTGTCCAGCTGCCCTTCCAGGACATCTGGCCATGGAGGCGAGGTCTCAGAACAGCTGTGGGGATGGGAAGAAGGGCGAGGATGCTTTGGCGGGGGCGGGGGCGGGGGGGGGGGGTGGGCCTGGATCCCTTGTCTGGCCTGTCTCCACGTCACAGGACCTCACCGTAGCGAGAAGCATAATCGGGCCGCGGCACGAGGAGGATCCGTTCGTAGGTCCGGCACAGCCCCTGCATCTCCGCCAGCTGCGGCTGGTTGGTGGTCCCGATCAGCATCACACGGTCTCCCGGGTGCAGCAGTCGCAGGGCCTTGGCGAGATCCTTCTTTATTCGCTTGGGTTCCATCTGCTCGGGGTGAGAGGCCAGGGTGGGGGGGTAAGGGGAGGGGGTTGAGACCTGGTGACTTCTAGGGGCTTCTGAGTTCTCTCAGAGGACACGCCCACATTCAGCCTCACATGGGCCCCGGGAGGCGGCCAGGAGAGGCTCTCAGTCCTGCTTTAAGGATCAGGACAAGGCAGCGGGAGGACAGGGAACCTGTCCAAGGTCGCACGGTGAGCGAGGTCTGGCGCTGACGTGAACAAGCCCGGGACCGCCAGCCTTGCCTGTGGCTCACGCGGCCACCCGGCTCCCCGCACCTCCTTCTCTTCTTTTGGGACCTTCTTATAGAAGTTCTTCTCGGCATTCCCGATCCAGATAACAGAGGGCTGTAAGAGTTGAGCCACCTGGACAGGTCAGGGAGTAAAAACCTGACGTCAGATGTCCCTGGGCAAGGGTCACCTACCTCCCCATCTGGACCAAGAGGGGGTCGGGGCTGGCCTTGAGCCTCCAGCCCCCACTTCCCACGCACTGCCTCCCCCCCCCCCGCCCCCCGTCTCGGCCTGTTGCACTGTCCATCACAGCTCAGTGCGAACACAGCTCTCCCGCCGCTGCCACCCCAGGGCTTCAGGTATCCGAAAGCTCCTAGCAGGGGGTGGAAGGGAAACCTCACCGGCTCCTGAAGCCACACCAAGTGGGCAGACGGGTGGCCTCCTGAGCATAAAGCCCACCCCGCCGTGTCAGCGCGGCCTGAGAACGAGAAACGCCCAAGTCGGGGGACCCAGACCTTAAAGACCATATGCACTATCATCTGCGCCCCGGTCTTGCCAGGATATTTGCCCTGCAGGTTGTCCGGTGACAGGTCAAACAGGTTGGCACCGGTTTCTGTGCACACGGCCTTGACCAACATCTTCTTCCCCGTGCCAGAGGGGCCCACCAGGAGGATGGAACGGATGAGGGGAGCCATGGAGTGTATATCTGGGGAGCCTGAAGGAGGAAACGGGGGCCAGAGGCTGGCGGTAGACCGGCAGGGGGGTGGGGGTGGAGCCGCTGGGTAAGGTGAGGCCAGAGGCCGCAGGCTGGGTGGGGTGAAGTTCAGATCCTGGCTGCATTGCCTTCCCGGGGTTTCTGAGCCCTTGGTGGGCTCGCTGAGAGAGGCAGCCGGGATGGCCGCCAATGGCCTGCAGGGTCAGGAGGGGGCCTTCTACCCCCGATGCCCCCCCCCCCCCGCCTTGACGCCCTTTCTGTTTTCTGTACCGTCTCTTCCTACTTCTGGATTACGAAGGAGTGGAACTAAAGGGCACGTGACCCACCACTTCAGAAGGATCCTGGTCTTCCAGGAACGGGACAGACTATGGGAAATCACTTGGGGTCGGCTAAGGGGCTGGAAAAGTGGTCTCCTCGGTAGGTCAAGGGCCCGCATGACTTCTGGGGTGGCCCCATCTGGGTGCGGCCTCCAGCAGCATGGGTCCACGGCACGGGGGACATGCCCACCTCAGCCCCCCTAACCTGTACCCAGTCTCCCCCTCGAGCCACCTGCCAGCATTGGCTCTTCCCTCTCCGCAGGGCATCTCACCAAGCCGAAGGACCGCGTACAAGGCCACGTTCTGTCGTATGTCAAACAGGGAAGGCATAGGCAACTTGTTTGCCAAACTCAGCGTGGATCCAAGATAGAGGTAGTCCCCTGGGGGCGGGGGGGGGGGGGGGAGGGACAGGCAGCCACCTGGTGAGTGGCACCCACCGGGGCGTTGCCGAGAGCCACTTGTGGAGAAGGCTCGCTGCATAGGGTGGTAGCTGGCTGTGGGAAAGGCCGTGGCCCAGGAGGAGGCACTGGGGAGGGGTCTCACCAATGTAGTCTTTCAAGGCCACAGTCTGACTCTTCCTTAGGAAGCCAGAGACCACAAGCTCTTCAAACAGAGAGTCCAGGGTCCTGCAGAGGACAGCACAGAGGGGCCCCCGAGGACAAAGGGAAGTGGAGACAGAGACGAGTGGGAGGTGCTACAGGCTCGAGGAAACAGGTGGCAGGGGCCTCGCGCCCCATAGCTAGGCTCAAAGATACCCACGGTGTCACTGGCCAGCCGGCACATGAAGGAACAGCACCAACCCGCTGGCCCAGAAGGCAGCCGGCCCACAGCGGGTGCTCTGGGGGTTGAGTGGGGTGCGAGGAGGCCCAGGGCCCTCGGAGACACTCCCTCCATCAGCCTGCTCACGGCCCAAAGTTCCATCACCCGAAACCCAGTGGTCTGGGCGACATATCACCGTCTTCCTAGAAACCACACTGAAGACGTACACACTCCCGTAGGCACTAGGGCGGCTGACATCAATGTACCTGAGACTCATTTCACCCAAGACGTGAGTAGACAGGGGCCACTGACAAGGTAGAGGCCAGGGGCAGGTGGCTTTGGCAGGGACACAGTTGACTACGGCAAAGGTGGGAGGGAGGACCGGGAAGGAGGGAGCGCCGAGGACACTCTTCCACTCACACCTGCCTCTGCTCCATCCTGTTCAAAGCACTTTCTCATGCTTCTATTTGATCCTCACGGCTATCCCGTGAGTTTGGCAGGGCAGGTACTTGGTCGGGGAGGACAGGGAGCCAGAGAGGTTAAGTGACTTTCTCTAGGTCCCGCAGCAACAGAACCAGGCCCGGAAGTCAGACCTGTCCTGCACCGGGGCTTCCCCCCGCCCCTCCCTCCCCCACAGTAAGGGTCTGCTACCTGTTTGGGGTCAGATCTTTTTCCTTCTTCTTCCCAGTTTTCTTCCCGGTCTTTTTCTGGTTGGAAACAAGCACACAGGCAATTGTCCTCTGTTCCTTGCCTCCCCCGCTGTGTGCGTGTCCTCGTCTTAGCCCTCGGTCTTGCCTTCGGAGCCTTCAAGACTCTCTCCTCCTCCCTGTCCACAGCCAGGCGCAGGTTCTTCAACTCTTGACGCATCAACTCATCCACCTGGGCGACAGCAGGGAGTGTGGGGGGTGGGGGGGGGTGGGCAGCGAGGGGCTGCAGAGGACGGCTGGGAGGGCCGCACCGAGACAGGGGCGGAGAGGAGGAGGGCTGCCTCAGAGAAGAACGAGACTGGCCCCTGGAAGTCAGCTCGGGTGGCCACCCACAACCTTCCTACACACTCTTCTGGAACCTTCAGGCCTTGCGTCCCTCCCCCTGCCCCTGCCCCTGTCCCCGTACTGGTCCGCACCCAATCCTAACCCACATCCTGCTTACACGGGAGCCTTGCTCTCCACTGGGGAGAAGCTCCAGGATGCAGTCAACTGGCTTTCAGTTCAAGCCCCAGACCCACCCTTCAAAGTCTGTGTGACTTGAGCGGTTGCATGTTTCCCGACGTCAGGAAAATCATGGCGCCTACCTCAGGGGTGTCAGAAAGATCACAGTATCCACATGGCAGGAACCCTTTAAGGGCTGATGGGCATGCCGGTGGGCGAGACCCCAGCTCAGAGCCCCTGCCATTCCCCCTCCCACCCCAGTCTGCATCTGCACCCCAGGGAGAGAGGGGCTGGAGAGACACAGAGACACAGAGGACGGTAGGACCGAGAGGGACCAAGGTGGAGCTAGAAGGATACAGAAAAGGCGGCGCACAGAGGTTGCTACAGAAGAGGGGCAGGGGCAGGCTGGAGGACGGAGGGGGGCTGAGGGGAAGCGCATGAAGCATCCGGGGGGGCCCCGGTGGGGACACAGAGGAGGCCTGCAGGGAGGCCCCGAGCCCGCCCGCTCACCTGTATCCGGATCTCCTGCTCCACTTCCTTCCTCTTCTCCACCCGGAGCATCTCGGGGTCAAAACTCTGATTGGGGTGTACGCTCTCATGCCGGCTCCTCCAGACAGCTGACCGTGGAGAGACGGACAGAGGAATGACGTTCAGAGCCCCGGGGCACGCACACGCTCCGGCACGCATGCGCGCATCGGCTCGCGCGTTCGCACTCGCGCACACTTGGCCAGAAACCTGCCCCCGGCTGGGACCTCCGTCCTCACGGGGCTGTCTGGCACCTGCTGCTACCCGGACCACAGAGGCCTGATCCCAAGGCCTCAGGATTCGGATCCAAAGTCATAAGGCATCGCCCACACCCCACACTTCTGTCCCCCTTCGGCATTCTCCCCTCGGCCTACGCCATTGCACCCCACACTGCCGCCTCATGGCCCACACAGCGTATGTCCACTTTCCCCAGGACCAAGGGTCACCCCAAGGCCCTGACAAGGCCTAGACACTCCTCCGCAGCCCCTTCCCCTCTTACTTATATACTCCTCGTGTGCGGCATTAATCACAGGTATAAATTTGGATGGTGAGACTTTCAGTATTGCGTCTGCTTCCTAGAATAGAAACATCCTTTTATCTTGTCACCCCCCCCCCCCCCACCAAGATCTCTGGCCCTTATTCCCCTCAGACCAGCTTCTCACCAGGAGCTCCCTCAGACTCCCTTCCCCCTGCCCACTTGGTCCACACCTCCGGGAGGTGTCTTACCCCCTTCCTGGTTTTTGTTTCCTTCCCTTTCTTCTTCCTCTCTTTTTTCTCCTTTTCTTTTTCCTTATTTTTCTCTTGGTCCTTTTTTTTGCTCTCCTGGACCTGCGCCTCCAGTTCCATTTTCAGCTGTGATCAGTGACGGAAGAGGTTTCAGAGAAGACCAAGGGATTCGACGGGAGCAAAAGATCCCGGGCCGGAGACGGGGGTAGACGAGGGTCACGGGTGGGGGCCAGATAGCTGAGAGTCCAGAGATCTCACTGGGGTCCAGGGAAAAAGGGGCACCAGGTGAACAGGTGTTCTGATCCGAGCTGCTGCTCTTTCCTGGCCCATGGAGGCCGGGAGCCACAAAAGTCTCAGCAGACATATCTTCTCTCCCTGGCCAAAGATGCCTTCTCCAGACACAGGCACCCGCTCTCCACCACGCAGTCTTGCTAGCTACCTATATTTCCTCCAGCCACGTCTGCCCTCACTGAGGCTGACCTTTCCTCAGTTTTCACTCAGTAGGCTCTATAACTTCAGACCCCCGCTACCACAAAAAGTCTCCTGTCCCCACTTATAGGGTACCTGTTCTGGAGTCTTGTCTGCAAAGATCAGGTAGGATCCACCTAAAGCCTCATCTGGATAATCAGGGAATCGACCAGTAAGGGCACTAAGTGAACATAAAATGGTCAGAGAGATGGACAGGTGAGTGGATGGACAGATGGATGGATGGGTGGATAGATGGATGGATAGATGGGTGGATGGACAGTGGATGGGTGGGTGGATGGATGGATGGATGGATGGACGGACAGTGGATGGGTGGGTGGGTGGGTGAGTAGAAGAGTGGGTGAATGGACGGGTAGTTAAACAGAGGGAACGATGAGGAAAGAAAACGGACTAGGGGGATAGAGAACAAGAGGGAAGGAACAGAGAGGTACAGATTAGAAAGGAGAGGTTCCTCAGGGGGCTTCCATGGTTGCTTTCCCCATATGGTTTTGGCATTTTCTCTTCCATCGGGGGAAATGAGAAGTCATGTGTAGAGATGGTCTTGTAGCTTGGGGGCCCCAGGTTGAAGTCAGGTGTGTACGCAGCGAGTGAGGGGGATGGGAGCGAGTGGAGAAAAGGGATCCGCCTGGACTAGAGCACAGAGCAGGTGTGGGGACGCTGTGCGGAGCAGGGAAAGAGGGATTGGTTGGGTCAGCTGAGGCTGGGGACACTGACCGGCACTCAATAAACCACTGTCGGATTTGCTCCTTCAGTTTCTCCTTTATGTCAGGTCCCTCTGTCTCTCTGAGAGAATCATGAGTCTTCACCATCGCCAGCTGGAGCTCCTCCTCCTTCTCTATCTGGCAGAGCCTCCGGACATCGTCCCTGAGGCCAGCTTGGAACATGATACCCAAGCTTTCCACCTTGTTAGGCGAAGGGAGCTGGCGAAGAGGAGAAGAAGCCCAGGGTGTCAGGAGTGGGAGGTGGGGGGGGGGGGGCCCCAGCCCCTGGCCTCAGGCACACACACCTGCCCCCCTCGCTCCCCAGCACACCCGCACACGTGAGGCCTTGCATACACGCCCACACGGAACAACGGGCAGGCCTGCAGCAGGAGAAATTGTGTTTAGAGCCAAAACTCGCCTGTGTAAATTACTCTGATAATGAGTTCGCTAGATGCATCTGGGCCGGCCCCCCTGCCCGCTCCCCCCCCCCCAGCACACCCTCCCCTGTGAGCCTCCGGCCCCAGCCCCCACCCACACCCCCGCCCCAGCGGCCCGTGTTGGCAGCCGCTCTCGCAGCCACTTTCCCGCCTCATTGGCTCCCAAATGTATTTTAAATATCACTCTGCGCAGAGACAATTACTGAAAACGCTGAGCTCACACTGTTGATGGGTCCGGGCGGCCAGGCTCATTCCTCACCCACCACCATGCCATGCCCCCCACCTCCCCCCAAGGCCTGACCCTGGCCTCCCCTCTGCCCGCTCTTGCCTCCCGGGGGCCCTGCTCTCCAAACCCTCAAGTCTGACCTCCACTCCCCTGCGGTGCCCTCTGGACCCTCCCTCCTTCCGAAGCCCCCAAGCCTCCGGGAAGAGCCACCCCAGGCTTTGTCTCTGATCCCTTTGGGGCCCCGGCCCCTCCCCAACTCCCTTTATCAGGAGGCCTTCACAGCCTCTGCACATTGCAAAGCCCACTCTCAGGAAGCCTCACCCCCACCAGGGCCTTCCTTTCCTAAGTCAGCAGAGACTAGCCCGATGTAAGATCCATCAGAGAGCAGAGGCCTCTCAAGGAGTGGGGCCTGCTTACCCTGCCTGTCCACACACGCTGGGGGCTGCCCCTGTAACCACCCACACTGCCCCACCGGGCACACCCTTTCCCATGTACACGGGTAACACTCAGCACTAGTCCCTGCATAGCAGAGGAGAAGCCAGTCTGGGCCCCCGCAGAACAAGTGGGGGAGACTGTGGCCCGAAACACTGTGCTGTGGAAGGGATGTGGCCCCCATCCCAACTTGGCCCTCACGGTTCTCCCAGAGGCTGCAAGAGCCTGGGGCGGGGAGGGAGGCGATGCTCCCACTAGCCTTGTGGCCTCCTCCCTCTGCTGGGGCCACTCGCGCCGCCTCTCCTTCCAGCCTCTCCTTCCAGCCAGGGGCGCGAACGCGAGGTCCAGGATGCTCCGTGCTGCGATCGCTCACCCCGCCCCACATTTGAGACCCTTCCACGGGTTTTGGAGAGGGAAAGGTGGCAAGGGACCCGGCTCGTTGGTGGCTTTCTGTTCCTTTGGCCTCTTTCGCAAGCCCTGAAGGATCCCTTAACCAGGGTCCGCAAGGCCTAAACCCCTCCACCCATGCCAACCACAGTCCTGAGTGGAGGGAGGTGTGTGGGCGGTGAGGGTCTATGCAGGGCTGCACTCTGACAAAAAAATAAGGGAGGGAACCCCACGCACCGGCCCACCTCGTGCTCTGGCCTGTGGCCGTGGCGAGGGGGGCACTTACCATGCCGATGAACTCCATCTCAGTTCGCCGGTCCTGCTGAGTGCGTTTCCTCTGCAGGTAACCCTTCCACACCTGGGGGGGACACAGGGGCCCAGACACTCCCACGCCGCATTTCTGCAGCGACGTGGCTCGTGCCATCAGCCTCCAGGGGGAAGCACCAGCCACTCCCAAGGAAAAGTCTGGTTGGGGAGCTTGGGGGTAGGAGGTGGGTGAGGACTGCTGGGGAGGACACCTCCCAGGGCGGCCCGCAGGCAAGCAGGGGCTGCCCAGAACATGGTGGGGCTGGTGTGCACCCACACAGTCCAGCCCCAAGCTTTTGCTCCCCCAGGGCCCCAAGGAATTCCCTCCTTCTCAGTCCCGCCCTCTAATCTGCCGTGTATCTCTTGACACGGACCTCAAAGGCTACCTTCTCCAGGAAGCACCCCCCGCTCTACCTCTCTGGATTCCCACAGGATTTGGAATACCTACTTGATTCCCCCCCCCAGGCACATAGACATCAGCGCTGTAAGGACTGTGGAGCTCCCCTGATTAATTACTACATTTTTGACACAAGGAAACTGAGGCTAGAGACAGGATGTGGCCTCTCTCGGGTCCAAGAGCCCATGAGGGCCGAGCTGAGACAGGACCAGGTTTCCTGACTCCTTGCCCAGGGCCCTTCTCCCAGGCCTCCAGCTGCTTGCTCACAGAGCCGAGGATAGCCCAGTACTTGGGGGGGGGGGGGGGGGGCGGCCCCCCCACTCCGGGCGGGGGGGAGGCAGCCTGTGCTTCACTTACTATGGATCCTTCTCCCCTAATTTTTTGTTTAATGTTTATTTATTTTTCAAGGAGAGAGAGAGAATGTGTGAGTGGGGGAAGGGCAGAGAGAGAGAGGGAGACACAGAATCCGAAGCAGGCTCCGGGCTCCGAGCTGTCAGCACAGAGCCGGAGGCGGGGCTCGAGCCCGCAAACCGCGAGATGATGACCTGAGCCGAAATTGGATGGATGCCCAACCGACTGAGCCACCCAGGCGCCCCCTTCTCCCCTAATTTTAACGATCCTTCTGTTTCTGGGGCTTTTATGATATCCCACTACGAGTCCTTTGGGGGACAGAGGTGTAGAATAAATAATAAACAAACAAGATACACACTTATTGGCTGATTAGGTCCCTAGTTTTAGGATCTAGCCGCGGGGCAACAGAATCCAAGCTCCTGCACCTCTGCCCTCGATTGGTGAGCCAGGCAGTCTTCCTGGAAGAGGGGACTCTACCCGGACCTTCCTCCTGGGTGCTGGGGGATTACCTTCTGAATGGTGACAGCTGCTTGGTCCTGACTGAACTTGTGCCAACCTTCCTCTCGAATCTTCCGATCCCGCTCCTCCTCTTTCCGAATTTCTCGCATGAAGATGGCTCGGAGCCGGCCTTGCCTGGCCCGCTCAGCCCTTTGCAGAAGGATTATGGCCTCGGTCCGGCACAGTTCTGGAAAACGCTGGCCAGAACATAGGCAAAGGCTCAGGGGGAGATGAGAGAGGGCTTGTATTCGGGCTGGCAGCTGGGAGACTGTTCGCCAAAGGGCATGCTGGGGACGTGATCCTCCCAGGGCACGTAAGTGCCCCAGTCCTGTCCTCTATCTTGGTGTGAGAAGGTTTCAAGGATCACAAGAGCGTCCTTGAAACAGGCCAGGGATTACCCAAAGAGCGCTCGGAGGCGGCTATAGGGCAGGGGATGTCCTCTCTGTGTCCTGGAGGATGGCATCTCTCTCCTGGGAGCGGGGTAGGAGGGGAATCTGGGAGGGTGTCTCCCTGATTTACCTCCCTGGAGGTCACTGGCTCCATTCTCGACAGGATCTCTGCCAGCATCAGCTCCCGCTCCTTCAGAATGCTGGACTGCTCCAGCAGGAAGTATCTGGGGATTGGAACCTCCAGGTCTGCCTTTGGGGCGATAGCGGGGGAAGGAGGGTCAGGAATCAAAACCCAGGCCATCTGGCCGATCGTTCCCACTTTCAGCTGCTTACACCGACCCTGGTGATGCTCTCCTTCATCCTAGAGCCCTGGGGTGGGAGATTTATGGGTCATGGGCAGGTCCCCCCCCCCCCCGGAAGGTCATGCCTCTATCCCCCTGCTCCACGGTGTAACCAGAGCTGAGTTCTGGAGGGTCACGATAGGTGATGGGTAGTGGTTCCAATTCTGGCCGTGCGTCAGAATCGCCTGAGGGGCTTGTTCAAAGGCTCAAGCCGATCAGTGGGTTTGAGCTGTGGTCGGAGATTCTGCATTTCTAACAAACGCCTAGGTGATGCCGCTGTGGCTGCTTCCAAGGACCACACTTCGAGAAGCAAGCCGGCAGGGGATTCTCTTCGCCGATCCCCTGTGGCTGGTGGGGATTCCCGGCCTCACGGGGCCTCCGGCCTGACTCTTCTAGCCACCCCCTAGCTACTTAGTAGCGCGCACGCCCTCTCGCTGAAACCCTTCTCCCGATCAAACCCCAACCCGCTATCTGCCCCACCCTCCTTCCGGGGCAGGGGTCCCAACCCCAGGGCTGTTCCGCGGCCGGTCGCGCTCCGGCCCCGCCCCGCCCCGCCCCGCCCCGCCCCCTCCAGCCCCAGGTGGGGGAGGCGGGGCTCGGCGCCGCCGGAGGCGGGCGCTGGAGTGGGCGTGGCCCGCGCACCGTGGTGAACTTCAGGTCATGCAGCACGCGGTCCAGGCGGTGGTATTCGCTCAGGTCCGCGCGCACCAGGTCGTCCTTGAGCTCCAGCACGCGGCCGGCCACGCTGTCCAGCAGGCGCCGCAGCAGCCGCCGCTTCTGCGGCTGCACCATCTGGTCATGGAGGGTGTCGAACCGGCGCAGCAGCCCCAGGTAGTGCAGGTAGAGCGACGAGAGCCTGTACTGGAACGACTGCCGTTCCCGGTCCGGCACGGGCTGGAGCAGGGGCTGCTCTTGGTCCAGCAGCTCCTGCAGGGCCACGTGGGAGGTGTCCCAGAGGCGTTGGTACGCTCTGGAGAGGAGGGGAGAGGAGGCAGCAGGCGTGGGGCGATCTGAGCCGTGGAAGAGTGGGGACAGTGGGGGGGGGGGGAGGGGGGGGGGGGCTGGGCCCGGGGGGGGGGGGGCGCGGCGGGTGCCGGGGGGGGGGGGGGGGGGGGGGGGGGGGGGGGGCGGGGCGCTGCTGTGCCTTGTGAGGAGTGCGAACTCGGGTTCCAGAGGTTAAGGTTACCCATGGGGCCAAGGTGGAGTTCCGCGAAGGGAGGAGTCGCCGGGGGCAGTGAGGTGGTGATTACAGAGAACTCATGCCCAGGCTTAGAGGAGGTGTGAGATTGGGATCACCGGGAGGAGGGAGTCCGCTGGGGGATAAGCAAGGAGCTCCCAGTAAGGAAGGGGCCTCTGGGAGTCTGCACTGGGTCCCTCCGGGGAGAGGGTGCGCCCCGCGGAGGCTGCAAGGGTCTAGAATGGTGGGTGGGAAGTGGGGGTGAGGGAAGAATGTGGAGAAGGTCTCTTCCCCTGATCCTGGAATAAGTAAACTGGTCCGAGGAAAGGCTGAAGAGGGAAAGCTGACCACAGGCCGGAGCAGCCAGGGGTTGCTGTGCGAATGTCCCAGGGGCCCGGCCAGGGCTGGCCCAGCACAGAAAGCCCCTCTCCCCAGCATCCCTCCTCCCGGCCCACCTGCCCCAGCCTGACGGGACCAGGCGAGGCCCTTCGTTCTTTGCTTTCCCAGCCCTGGGTGCTCCACGCCTCCTCACTCACCCCTCAGACATGGTGCCCACTTCTCACACCGCCCTTGGGGAGCTGCTCAGGCCATCCACACAACCTGTGGCTCCACCTTGACTCCACCCCACCCCGAAGGCCGGAACAGCCCGGTTTTAAGAGTTCTGTCCCATTGTCCCAATGTTCTAAGGCTGTGAGGGGAGGGGACAGCAGGCGCAGGGCTGGGGACGCTTAGGATGTTCTCGTCGCAAGCCTTGGAAGGCTAGAGCAGAGCGTGGGGTCAGCTGTGGCTACTTGTGAGACTCAAATAAAAGGGTGGTCACGATTCGAAGTCACCCCGTGAGCTGTGTGAGGCTCTGGCATTCATTTTTGCAGCTGCACTTCTCAGCTGGAGGAAGCCTGTATTCCTGAAGTCAGAGCCAGTGGTCCGTGTGAACTATGCCAGTGGAAAGATCGACATTAGAAGGAGTAGGTGAGACTCGGTGGTCTTTGGGGGCTCACTTTGAGCCATCTGCGGGTCACCCCATCGCCGTTACGGGCTCAGGAGGCCATTATTCGGAAAGTACAGACGGAGTCAGCTGGGGGTGACTTTTTTGATTCAGTGTTAAGTGGGGACTTACGAATAAATACACGAGGCCCAGGGCCAAGGAAAGGGGGAGAAAGGCGACAGCAGCAAAGAGGAGCTAGGGACGAGGAGTTGTGGGGCTTTAATGGACGTGCAAGTTACCCGAAATCTGGTCGAAAATCCCACGACCTGAGTTGGGTCTCTGAGTCACAGGTTAGCAAGGTATGGAACACAGTGGGAAGGGGGGGACAGCGAAGGCTCGGGGGCCAGATGCCCTGGGCTCCCCCCGCCTTTCTAGCTATGGGACGAAGACGCGGGTGATGGGTTCTCTTCTCATCTGCACGTTAGGCTGCACCTCTGTAGGAGAAAAGTGTGTGAAGTATGTAGGCCTGCGCCCCAACGTCAGCCATTCTTACATGGCTGTTCGGTACGTGAAGTTGAAGGTGACAACCTGTATCTATCCGGTTGCAAAGGGGCGACAAAGGATTTTGGACTTGCTCGCTAGATGCAACCCCTCGAGCCCCAGGCCCTCCACACAGCTTGGGAGAGGATTGGTGGGTCGTATGCTCACAAGGTAGAGCAGAGGCCAAAGGAGAAAAAGCAAGCGTGGCCAAACGTTCGGTGGTGAATCTCAGCGAAGGACATACAAGGGGCCGTTGTACTTTCTCGCAGTCCTTCGGCGGGTTTGAGATTTTTCGACATAAAATTTGGGAAGAAAAGAGGAGCCCCAGATACTCCTACCAATTTGTTCTGAAAACACGAGGGGAAAATAAAAACATCCTATAGGTCCTGGCAGGTTATGGAGATGCCTTCCATTTTATATCCAGGATTTGAAAAGTAGGCTTGTTCCACTTTGTAGCCGTGAGAAGGGACAATGCCCTTGTCCCACATCACACCTCCCCATTTCAAAACAATTTTTTTAAATTTTTTTTAATGTTTATTTTTGAGACAGAGAGAGACAGAGCATGAACAGGGGAGGGGCAGAGAGAGAGGGAGACACAGAATCGGAAACAGGCTCCGGGCTCTGAGCCGTCAGCCCGGAGCCCGACGCGGGGCTCGAACTCATGGACCGTGAGATCAGGACCTGAGCCAAAGTCGGACGCTTCACCGACCGAGCCACCCAGGCGCCCCACACCTCCCCTTTTCAAATGACCACAGTGTGCGGGAGCAGTTCACCCTTTATTAATGTTAGGTCCTGGGTCACTTGGAGCTGGTGTACTTGGTGACGGCCTTGGTGCCCTCGGACACGGCGTGCTTGGCCAGCTCCCCGGGCAGCAGCAGGCGCACGGCCGTCTGGACTTCCCGGGAGGTCAGTGTGGTTCGGCCCGAGTACTGGGCCAGCCGGGCAGCCTCGCCAGCCAGCCGTTCAAACACATCGTTCACAAACGAATTCATGATGCTCATGGCCTTGGAAGAGATGCCAATGTCAGGGTGCACCTGGGGAAGCAGCAAGACCGTTCTGTTAACGAGGAGGCTCCGCCCGACCCTGCCAGCCCCAGCCCCGAGTTCGGGACTGCAGGAAGCTGGAGGCAGGACCGCGAGGCTGCCTCCCCAGCCTCTTGCCAGAGGCCCAGCCCAGGAGGTAGGGATTTGGTTTTTTACTACCACATCCGAGTGAAAAGTTTTTCCCACCGGTAGGACGTAACGCTATTAAGGTCCTCGTATGAGCACATGGGAGCATCAGTCTTTGACAAATGGGGTCAGTTACACAGCATTTTGCTTTTCTCATTTAATGCGTTTGCATAGGGTTACTCCTCGAGGTGACGTTCCCAGGGGTGCGACCGCCGCCGGGTCCAAGGGTTTATGCGCCTAACTTGGTGGACTGTCACCACATTACTTTCCAGAGGACGCACTCATGTGACGCAGCCTCAGCACCAGACTAGGAGTTAGGACACCAGGGTTCTGTGGCCGGACCGTGAGTCACCGGAGGACCTCAGATTAAGGCACTCTCCTCTGGGCCCCAGTTTCCTCCTCTGTCACACCAGCTTTTGAGCTAGATGATCTCCAAACTGGCGGTAGGGGCCCGCTAACAACCCTGACGTGTGACCAGGCAGACACCAAGTGTTTCCCTGGGAGGTGGGAGAGAAGAGACGACCGGCGACATCCATCAGGCCGATGGCGGACACAGAAGCGGAACGCAGGCTCTCGCGCCGCCACTGGTTGCCACGGACAGCACAGCACGGGATCGGAGCCTAAACCCCTTGTGTCGTCATCACATCGTTTTCCCCTTAGGGCTGAGGGGGCGTAACAGTCAAGTTTCACAGGAGTGAGGGTAACTCAGCAGCTCTCCTTCGCACGTGCAATCCAGGGCCCACACTTGTTTTTGAGCCCCGAGGTCGGCTGAGCCGCAGGGCTCACAGACGCTCCCAGCCCCACTTCCTCCAGGGTGCCAGAGTCTGTCCTCCGCTGCCGCCCCTTTGGCCAGCCCATGCCAGTGTTGGTCCCGCCACCCCCCCCACCTAGCCCCAGAAAAGCATTCCCAGAGACCCGGGGCGTCAGGTCACCGAAACTGCTAACGGGATCTAGACTCTAGGACCTGCTCGGACAAAGCAGTGAGACTCGGGCGGGTTGGGGAGGCTCAGGGCAGGCAAGACCGCTGTGCTGCCTGCTCCTGGCCCCGCTGAGTGGGCCAGAGGCTTCGAGACCAGGGTGCCTCGTGTACTAGACACACTGTTGTTGGGTGCCCACTGATGCCCCCCAAATACCCGTCAGTGTGCAAATGCCGGAGCGGGTGCTTCTCCTGGGTGCTCTGGTGGGCCGCATGAACAGAGAGCATTCGGAGCACCTGGGGGTTAAGAGGCGCGACCGGCGGGAAGTACGCGAGGGGCCTGCTCAGGGCCGGGGGGCTGCTGTCAGCCCTGCTGCTGCTGTCAGGTCATGGGGCTCAGTCAGTGCTTTGCGCCTTTACGGACCTTAGTTCCTCATCTGTACGGTAGGCCGGTCCCTCAGCCCCTCGGTGACTGAGTGCTGTGGCGCTGGAAGGCCTTGCCCGAGACCTCAGCTCGCACGCGCCGCTCCCTGCTCCGGGCCACCACCGACTAGCGCCTCTGGTTTGTCCCATGATGCGTCCGGCACGTGATCGTCCTTCAGCTCCACACTTTCGTACCGTCTTGCCTTTTACTTACGTCCCTCCTGACGCTCCGCATAAGCGTTTGGTCCGTCCAGAGCCCCGTAAGCTTCCGGATTGTGGCGGCGTGTTTTAAATGTCTCTGGCACATCACAGGTGCACGACAGATACTGGGAGGCTGTGGGGACCTCTGAGATCGAGTGCGGCCACTTCACAAGGGGCACGGTGTGCCTGAGGCCCCTCCCCTCAGTGCCAGGGGGGAAACGGAGTACGACTCTGTCCGGTCGTACTCTGCACACACACGCGCGCACGCGCGCGAGCTCCCCACTCTCACCTGCTTTAGCACCTTGTAGATGTACATCGAGTAGGTCTCCTTGCGCCGGCTGCGCTTTTTGGACTTCTTATCGCCGGAACTACGGCCCCTCCGGCCCCCCGACTGCTGCTGCTGTCCATGCTCTGCGCTCATCCTCCTGCCCTTCCTAACAGCCGCCTCCTGCTCCTTGGGGGACTTTTATGGGGTCAGCTGCCCACCAGGTGGGGCTGGGGGCCAGCACCTGGGGTGGAGGGGGTGGGCGGGGAGGAGCTTGGCCCAACCCGATCCAGAACATGCTCTGGGTTAATCTTGAAGGAGACTGATAGCTCCCGCCTCTCCCCCAAGCGATTTCCTATCTCTGAATAAGAAGCCCTCCCCCCCCCCCCGATCTTCTCCCAGTGTATTACACACTTGTTAAGAGTTCACACACCACCAGACCACGCCACGAGATCACTCTGCAACCACTGTGCTCAGCTGACTCGAAACACAGGGGAGTGTCAGAAGAAACACAGGGCACCCACCCCCGCCCCCAGAGCCCTGCAATACAGCCAAAGAGGCAAGAGTGACTCGCATGAAACAGACAAGGGAAGGACTAAAGAGGGGGTGTAGGGACAGAGTTCAGAAAAGAAAAACGAGTGAGGGCTGTAGGAGCCAAAGGGCTGCACGGAAGGAGTGGGGATTTGAAGCTGGTCTTGTAGGGTGGGCACAGTTTAAGTGGGGAGAACTGGTCCCCAGAAAGACAAAGCAGGGTGGAATCAATGCGTGCTGAGTACAGTGAGGCTTGGAAGGAAGGCAGAAATGGAGCAGAACCCGAGCCCGGACCAGATGTGGGCAGCAGGGAACCACAGGCTGGGAGGGCCCGGCAGGGAGCGGGTGGGGTGGACTGGAGGAGCCAGAGCCGAGAAACACTGTCTGCTCTCCATAAAGCAGGTGACGTGGGCTCCCTGTGGAGGTTAGCTGCAAAGGGAAGAAAAAGGCGGCTGTTAAACGGAGGAGTTCTCGCTTTGCCCCTATGTGTGAACACGTTTCAGGTTCTTAAGAGAACTTGTGATTACAGAAACCTGGTGCGACATGAGAACCACAGGCCGGGAGGGAAAGAGGGTTTTCCCAATCAAGAGGAGGTGGGGCAGAGGAGCAAAGACGAGCATCACCTGTCAGTGGGCGAGAGAGCAAGCCTGAGCGGCGCCCACCTCCCCAACCTCACCTCTTCACCTACCTCCCAACATCCAGCTGCCTCTTGCACGCTAAGGTTTAAGAGGACCGCGGGGCAATTCATAATCTGCAATAAAGCACTACTTTTAGGCCTTGGTAGAGAGATTGTATACAGTGGGCTTTTTAAGCATCCTCCAAGTTTTTGAAACTTTGGCTTGTTTTTTGGGGGGGGGCAGGGGAGAGACAACCTGTAGCCTATTTCGATTCCTCCATTTCTGAAGCCTCGGCACCTCAAGGCTATGGTGGAGACCCTGAGGGATTTCAAAGCGAGTTCCTGCCAACACACCCGGGCGCTCCCTTGGCCGAAGAAGCGGAAGCTCTCACCTCCATTCCCCTCATTCCAGCAGCTCATTCTTGAGGCCATCCTCCCCCCTACCCAAGTCTCTGGATACTCAGGGCAGACAGACTTAGGCTATTTTGCTCCAGGTCCCACGAGAGGCACGAAGCCACAAAGCCAGGCTCAGGGCTGGAGGGCAGAGGAGGACTCCTAGCCTCACCCCGGCCTCGGCCGTCCAGGGCTCAGCTGCGGCTTCTCACGTCACGTTCACTCTTAGCGTCCCTTTTCCCCCGGGGACGCTCTTGGACTTCAGGGCCGCCTGAGGTCCTACTCACCTTTCAAGTTAGAGTATCAATCCTGCCTTTCCGGACCCACAAGAACTTCCCTCCCTTCCGAACCCTTCTGTGTTTCCCAACAAGTCACAGTTGAGCCTCTGATTTATGCCCGGTCTCGTTCACTAGTCATCGTTGGCTTCCCATTAGATCGTGAGCTCCTTGGGGGTCTGGACACCACCTGGGACTTTGTTTTGGGTGTTTGACAGTCTCAGATGTACTGTAATGAGCACTGAAAAGTCACGGCTGTGTATGTTTCCCCACAGGGCCGGCCGCTGAGGCCTCAGAGGTGATGAAGCCACACCAGTAAGAAGGGGCACTGGTGTCCCTGGTGAGTCCCTGGTGAACAAGGGCTGCGGATGCTTGTCAAGCTCAGACAGACCACGCAGAGCTCTGGGTTGGAAGTAAATTAGATCATGCTAACAAAAATTAAGGCTGAGAACAGGCAAAATAACAAAACGTCCTCATCCCACCCAGGAACGGTGGCTCACAAACCCGTGTGAGATGCAGACTCCCGTTTCATCTCTCTCACCCACCAGATGGCATCAGTAGGGCAGCGCCCGGGGATCTGCAGTTTAACAAGCACCCCCACCCCCACCGCCCCAAGTGCTGTGGTAGAGGCTGCAGCAGGGGAGCCTCCGACCACCCTGAAAAACACGTTCCAGGAGAGTGGTTCTCAAAGTTCGGCCCCCAGACAAGCAGCATCAGCAGCTCCTGGAAACATGTTGGAAATGTTTTACTTCCTGGTCTCACCCCGGACCTACTGAATCAGAAACCCTGAGGCAAGACCCGGTGACCTGTGATACCAAATGAGTCTTCTAGGTGGTTCTGATGTGTGTGTTGTGAGGCAATGGCCTAAGAAAAGGCAGAATTTCAATCAAAGGAAGGAGAGAGTTACTCCAGCCCTGCTTGCGTCCATTCCGCCAATTTCCACCCAAGCTCCTGCTGAGGGGATGTGAGTATTGGCGCTGAGGGGAAGAGGGAAGCGAAGGGCCCAGAGACCAGAAAAGGAAGGTAGGGACCATGGCTTCTTCTTTCTTTATTGGACACTTGGTAGATGTCACGCAGGTCTAAAAGTTACACTGTTAAATAATTATTTAAAAACCGACCAGGACTAAAGCCCTGGTCCACAGCTCCAAACCAGAAGCGGAAAGGAATGGGGGCGGTGGGCTGGGGGGTATTCCTCCAACATCACCAAAACCCAGAAAACGAGGACCCTAAGCTCTTTCACAGGCCAACCCAGGATGTGGGCCCTTGGGCTAACCCTCAGGTGCCTCTGGCTGCATCACCATCAGGTCAGTAACCAGCAAGGAACTGGCAGAACAGCCAGCCGAGTCCAGACATGGACAAAAGTAACTGCAAGGACAGGAAACGGACAGGTACTGTCCAGCCGTAGATAAGATCACAGAGTGCAGCTAAGGCAGGTGGGGACAGGGGAGGGGCTGGGGAGCGGTATTGCAGCAATGCAGGAGTGTGGCCCCAGAGGCCCGGCCCAGCCCGGGCAGGGGCTCACACATTGTGGGTCCTCCTGGTGAGCTGGGGCTCCTCGCCCACCAGCTTGGACTTGAGGTGCTCCTTGTAGGCCAGGATGTCTCCAGGCCACTTGGTGATTGTCTGCTTCTCACAGACCCAGATTTCCTGTGCAACCTAGAAAGGAAATCTGAGGCTCAATCCTCCTGGCCAGCCCTCTCCCCATCCCTGCCCAGAAGACCACTGTCAGGGGAACTCCAGGAAGAAACCTCCACCGCCCAGTCCCGTATGCGGCTCACAGTTCCACTGTCTCTCTGTTCTCTGGGATGCCTAACCCAGGGGTACCGTAACCAGCAGGTTTGGAGCCTTCCAAGCCACAACCTGCTCTGTCTCCTGATTTCCAGCTCCCCGGCAGGGCCTAGAACTGTTTAGAGGCCTCGCCCGCAGCTTCTTGTTCTCTATCCCTTCTTTCCCAAAGCTTCAGAGAAATGACCAGAGGCCTTTCCACCAATGACTGCTGGTAGCCCTCTAGTCCAAATCCTCCTTAGTGTAATACTACTTCTAGGCTGAAGAATCTTGAGACGGTAGTAAAAGCACCCTATCCTCTACCCAACTCCCTCGCCAATTCTGGCTAACATTGCCAAATGCCAAGTAGGCTGATGTCTCCAAATAGCTACTGAAAAAATGAAAGTTTTCCATTAAGGCTTTCTGTTTTTCAAAGAGCCATAAAATCTGGTCCTCATCACCCTGTCTACACCCTGAGCCCTTTTCCCAAATCCAATAAACACATATTAAGTGCCCTCCACATGCCATGACTGTGTCCTATCCAACCATCTCCTGGCCGCCCTCCTGATTTCCACTCCAGCCAGGGGCCTCACCTGCTGAATGAGTCTGAAATCATGGCTGACCAGCATCATACCACCCTCAAACTCGTTGATGGCATCGGCCAGGGCGTCGATGGTCTCAATGTCCAGGTGATTAGTGGGCTCATCCAGGAAGAGCATGTGGGGGTTCTGCCAGGCCAGCCAGGCCAGACACACTCGGCACTTCTGCCCATCAGACAGGTTCCGGATTGGGCTCACCTGCGTGGAACCGCGACATTTACGGAACCTGGTGTTACTCCCACCACAGAGCATGACTCACTTTCCCCCCGCTGCTTCTCCATTAATACTGCCACAATTCTACAAAAAGGAAGACCCAAGATCACAGTGAGATGGTACGTCTCTCAAGGCCCGTAAGGGATAAATGTGGAAGCCGGAAGCACTTGCTACTCAGGCCACACCTCTCGCTCTCCCTTGGCACTTAAATCATAACTAAGTGGAACAATGTGGTGGACCTCAATCGAGATCTGAGTCCAGGAACTCGTTTTCTAGGTTTCAATTTCCCTCCCCCTCAAGCATTCTGGTTTATCTTGCTAGTCTGGGGCGAAGGCATGTCAGAGACTGGGATGCTATCCCTGCCCGTTCCTCATAATGAGACCTGAATACTCCAATACATACACCTAGGCCAAAGGAAAGCTAGCAGGTTCTTTCAGACGCTAGAATCAAAGGAAGAGACTTTTCAGTAGAACACTTGAATCTCAATCTCAGGGTTGTGAGTTCAAGCTCCACATTGGGCATGGAGCCTACTTTAAAAAAAAAAAAAAAAAAAGAAAAAGAAAGAGACTTTTGGGACAGCTCCTGAACTTGGGTCGCCAGGGCAGTGCACCCTGGCCGTGTAGCCACAATCTCCCAGTTATCTGGCGCTGTTCCCCTACATCCCCCTCTGCTGACCTGCTGCTTCCCTGTGAGACCATATCGTCCGATGATCTTCCTCATTTCTTCCTTCTCCTTGATCTCTGGGTAGCACTTCATCATGTACTCCAAAGGTGAGAGGTCTAAGTCCAGCTGCTCTTGTAAATGCTACAGGAAAAAAGGAATCCATTCAGATGTGACTGGTGTCCCACTTCAAAAGGAACCTCGCTGGGTTAACTGCTGAGTAACTCTCCACCTCTACCCAGGCACCTGTTCAAGATTCCAGGAGAAGCAGGCAAAAGCTGACTTGGTCACATGCAGCCCCCTTTCCACACCCTGGGCATCTCCCCGGACCCCAAGGCCTGTACCTGATGGTAACGCCCTATCTTGACATGAGAGTGTTTTCGGATCATCCCGTCTGTGGGTAGTAGCTAGAAAGAAGAGAGTATTAGGTGGAAAGATAAGCACACAGAAAGAGAAACTCGGTGAGAAGCAGACACAGACAGAGTAGGGAAATAAACATATGTTCACTGAACAAGACTCAGAACTTCCAAATAGAATCTACATCACTACCTCATAGACTGCTATTCTGGCCACTCTAAAAATATTTAGGAAGATATACTGAAACAGATGTTCTCAAGAGAGGCAAAGATACATACAACACGGTCTACTTAGTAGTTAAAGGTCTACTACAGAAGGTACCACCAGTAAAACAAAGGACTCATATATATGTACAACATGGGTTTTCTAAAACAAAAACACAGCTCTCGCACAGATTCCCTCGAGATGCTCTAGCTGAAAACAGAAAAATGTTGAGGCACATGCATGTATTCTCTCTCTCTCTCTCTCTCTCTCTCTCTCTCTCTCTCTCTCTCACACACACACACACACACACTCCCCTCCCTCCCTCTCTTTGAGAAAACAGCTCCAAATCTCAGCACTGCCAATGACAACATCCCCCACCCCGGAAGCTGACTCACTCACCACCAGGGCACTCAGGCGCCTTGAGGGCCTCCGAGAAGCCCCTCACACCTTCCCTCCTCAGACACAGTAAGCACCTACTCTTGGAAGTCCCATGCCCCAGCCTGGCACCATACCTCTCCGGTTAGCAGCTTCAGAAGAGTTGATTTCCCTGCTCCATTGGGCCCCACCAGAGCCACTCGTGTATCGAGATCGATACCAAATTCTAGATTGTTGTAGATGCAGGGCTGAGTGGATGAGAGAGATGAATATGAGGTTAGGTTACCAATCAATCAATCTGGCTGGCAGATTAGCCCTGTCATGTCCCCCATCGCCACCGGAGTAGGTGGGAGTATGGAGGGAGAAAGCTCTCAGAGCAGACCCCAACCCACTGCCTCCACCCGCCATCTCAGCTGAGCAGTTTTCCAAGTACTTGAAGAGGGGCCACTCAAGTCCCTGGATGAGGCACCTAAGCTGCTATGCCTGAAAAATCCCGTGCACCACACGGGTTAGCAGGTGTGTTGAGCAAAGAACCGGAGACTCTCCCAACCTGTTGATGCTTATCTTGTAAAATTTGTCCCAGCCTCCCAACCACACAGGACGACTCACCCCGTCTTTTGTATACTTGAAGCTCACGTTCTGCACCATGATGACAGGCGGAGGAATCTTGCCACACGGTGGGAAATAAAATGACAGGGTCTAGGAGAAGGAGAGGACATTTTCCGGTTAGATCATGTCTCCTCCGCCTCATCTCGGGCACTAACTCCACTCGCTCGGACCCCACCTTGTCACTCACGACCCTTTCTGTCAGTCCTGATGCCATCATTTTCTGTAGCGTTTTCTCCTTGCTCTGGGCTTGCCGGGCCAGCTTGGCGCTGCCATGACCAAACCTAGCGATGTAGTTCTGAAAGAGACCAGAAAGGGGGCTTGGAGCAGGGGCAGGTATCAAGCAACTCTCCTTAAATGCGGGGTAGATGCCGACAACAACGTCTTCCTGACACCCGGCACCCCGAACTCCCCACGTACCTTCCCCCAACTCTCCACGAGAACGTGAGCTCATCTACAACTGCCCTACCTTCATGTGTGCGATCTGATCTTGCTCCCAGTGAAACCTCTTCATCTGGTTCTCTTCCAACTCCAGCCGTGTCTTCACATACTGATCATAATTACCCTGAAGAGAAGTATGCCAGGTAAGGCAGGCAGTTTTAGCCTCGGTCCCGGGTTCTCAGGGTTTAGGGGGATGCGAGATGGCATCGGACTTGGCCCTGGCTAGAAGACTGTGCAGTAGGGAAAGAGGAAGGACGTTGGCAAAGTAAACCCTAACCTAGAATCTGAAGTCTTTCCATTTGTGTGCCTCTCACTCTTAGCTTAGCCGGAGCAGGGCTCCAGATCAAATCCTCCGGTTAGCCGTAAAGACACCCACAGCACCAGCAGTAGCCCTGATCACAACCGTCATACGGACATCACGAGGCTCACAGCCTTCCAAGAGGACCTCCTACTACTCCCCACCCTTAGAGGCTCAAGCCCCATGCAGGCTACAGAAACTGCGCCCAGGAAGGAAGACAGCAGACCAATCAGATTTAGGGCCTAGCAAATGCTGCACAATTGGACTGCCATGGTTTCTATCTGCAAAGAACTGGACTCAACCTAAATATTCATCAGAAAGGGTCTGACAAATAAAGGAGTGGATGGCTACACAATGAAATATTATGCAATTACTGAAAAGCATGAGGTGGATCTATAACTATTCATATGAAAAGCGGCGCAAGATATATTAAAATGTAAAAGCAACCTACAGAAGAGAGTGATTACTAACATTACAGCTGTGATGTGTATACACAAAATTTTCTACAAATCCGTGCAAGTACACATAAAATCTCTGGAAGACTATATGAGAAATTATTAATACTCCCACAGTGAGTATAACTACGAATGAAAAGGACTCCTATTTTTTCTTTTTTTTAAATACGGATAATGAAAAGGCAAGGCAGACAAGTGGGCTGTTGAGATCCGGACTCCCAGTCTTCACGGAAAGAGAGGTAAATGGGCTGTCACAAAGCAGAGTTAAGCAGTCATTCAAGAAGGCGGGGATCGGCAGGGCCTGCCTGGGCACCATGCAAAGTCAACCTCTTTACCATAAGGCACACACGCCACGTACACAGGCTGCCAATCAATGGCCTACAACCCGAGAGCAACTACTTTGAGACTAAAATAGAACAAGCGGCAGGACTCCTTGTCCACATCTTTTTATAGCGATAGGTAGAAAAGGGCTGCTAAGTCTGTTTTGTTTTTTTTAAAGGAGACCTTCAAGGAACTGGTAAGCGCTGAGGTTGCTGTGCAGACGCTGGGGCCTACTCACCGTGTAATACTTCAGTTTCTTGTTGTGCATGTGAATGATGTTGGTGCAGACACCATTCAGAAAGTCCTGGGAATGGGAGACGAGGACCAGGATGCGCTTAAAACTGCAAAGCCAGACAACCAGTCAGGGAGGTGCTCCAAACTGTGACGGTCCACAGCAGGGGAGCTGAGAGGCCCAGAAAACCTTCATCTTTTCCCATCCTGAGCCCCCGTTAGATTTAACGGCCAACTCCCGGCTCTCAGCAACCACCTAGGCCGCCAGTGCACCATCTACCTGGAACGACACCTTGACCCCTTTCAGTCTGAGTTTTCTCCATCTTCCGTTCTAATTTTCAGCAGAATGGAGATGGTAGCTTAACAATGATGGTAAAAACAAGCATATGTACACAAACATATCCATAAATGTGTGTAATACTGTGGGTGGGAAGAACTGGAACAGGCGCAATAAAAATCACTGTAGTCCTCTTTTTGAAAGAAGGTACCAGTCACCGCAGAGACCGCTAAAAGCCTTCCCTCAGAGTCGGTACAGTATTCTGGGTTATTCAGCGCTGCAGCCATACAAGGACCATTGCCACATCAGCTAGGTTTCCTTTGCTACTGCATCATGATCTTAAGTGGGAATCCTTTCTTTATATGACGCATATAAATACAGTTAAGAGAAAAATACGGTCTTTAATAAAGGTGTCGTATTTTAAATGGAAGAACCAGAAAGTTAAAAAACTTCACACATTTCAGGCTAAAAAAAAGAATCAAACCAAATGGTCTCCCCTAAAGGTGCTTACTACTTTTTCAATCTGGCCTTCACCCGACCTCGTGTCAGTTCATTTTCTCATTGCTCTAGCATCACTGTGGTTTCCGGGCACCCATTTCCTTTAGATTGCTCAACTCCCCCTTCAGGACCTGCCCGTTCCCAACCCCATCCCTACCCCCTTACGTCTTTAATTCTTCTTCCAACCACACGCAAGCATCGAGGTCCAGGTGGTTGGTGGGCTCGTCCAGCAGCAGCATGAAGGGCCGAATGAAGAGGGCTCTGAAGGACAGGAGAGGAGACAGAGCCCCTTCAGTCTAATGGGCGCTACACAGGAGGGGACTTGCCTGCTACCTGCAACCCTGGTCAGGCCTGGCTTGCGTCCTGAAACCAATTCTAGGTTCTACACCTGAGAGGAAAGGGGAGAATGAGGAGAGAAACGAGCGTTGAAGAGCTGAGATGAAAGGGCAGAAAACAGGGCTGAGAAGCAGAGGGATGGTGCAGTTTGAAGATAAGGTTGTAAAAGTCCTTACGAGTCTGCAGGTCTTTCACGCTGAAGTTGGTGACCGTCAGGAAGACAAAAGGATAGAGGAGATAAACTGCTAAAGCAAAATAGCATTCAAGTTAAATCGATGGGGTTGCCAGCCTTTAGCAAGGAGGGCAAAAAATGTTCTTTTCTTAGATGGAATCTCAAGACAGGAGACGCAAGGGGACAGCACTGGTTCCCACATCTGCAGTCACCGCACTGCAGAGCTTTTTAGAAATAAAATTTCTGGGCACCAAATTCCAGTATTCCAACCACAGAGATATGAAGAAGAGGCTAGGAAATCTGTACCTCTGCAGCTCCCTAGATGAACGGAGGTGGCTAATCCTTGCACGTGGAACCACTGCTCTCGGCTCCAAAGCACACGCAGGCAGCTTTGCTAAAGCAGCCAAGTGTCACCAATTCACTTGGTAGAGAACAGTGGAGTGAGGGAACCACCTACTTAACTGGGGACTTTCTGGGGGGGACTGCTGGGGGAATGATGGTCTACACAAACTCACTTTGGGTCCAGCTCACAGGGGGATAAGGAAAGATCGCTTAACAGCTGTCTAATATTTTATCTTTATGCAGCAACAATTAGAAGGACTGAAATACAAAAGAGGATAGGATGGGAGTCAGGAAGAAAGAAGAAATGGACCCAGTCTACCATTTTACCCAAGGCTGATCCTAGGATTCCTAAACACTGTGCCAGAGATCCAACAATGGTCACTTCAGCCAGGAGGCTCGCGCCTTAGCCCACGCATACCACCCCTCCTTCACACTGTTGATGTCGTGTCTCATCTGGCACTTACTGACCCCTGACCTCTGTTCTACACAGTTCCACTGGAGTGAGCATCCAACCCTGAAGGAAATGGGGAACTACAGAGGGTAGAGAAGGAGAAAGGAACTCACCTGGCGAGGGCAACCCTCATTCTCCAGCCCCCACTGAAGTCTTTCAGCTTCTTGCGCTGCATGGCAGGCGTGAAACCCAGTCCATGCAAGATCCGCGAAGCCCTCATCTCCGCCTTGTCGGCATCCAGCTCCTCCAGTCGCTCGTAGAGCTCCATGAGCTTCTCACACTCCGCTGTGGGCGGCATATGGCTCGTGAGGCTCCCCGGGCCTTTCCTGGGAGGAAGCCCACCCCCCGACCCCCCGTCCCAAGTCAGGAGCCCTACCATCCTCGTGAGCCAGCCGCTCAGCCTCCCTCTCCAGCATGGCCCGCTCCGTGTCGACTTCCATCACACACTGCAAGGGTGTCTTGTCACTAGGGGGCATTTCCCGAGTCAGATGGTAGATGTCAATGTGCTCGGGGATGGGCACTTCCCGTTTCCCAATAGCAGAGAGCAGCATGGACTTTCCTGAGAAGGGCAAGCAGAGAGTGGGCAGAGGACACTCGGCACAGTTCTGCCTGTCATTCCCCTGCATCAGCTCCTCCGCTCCAGCCAAACCACCACCTCACCGTTTTGTGGAGCACCTTCCTTCCTCCCTTCCTTCATTTGTTCAAATCCTACTACCACTCACCCCCACCCCCCCGCGCTACCTTTCCAACCTTCCTCCAATTCTTGTCCCACCCCTCCTGCGTGAAGTCAGTTTGCCTACAGCGGCCTCGCACACCACCATTCCTGCCCCTCCCGCCCACTTCTCCAGCACCTACTGTCTGTAACTGCTCACGTGTTACTTACCACACACTGCTCTGTACTGCTAGTTCCTTTTCCCTGGACATATGTGGTCTCCCACCCATACTGTAAACTCCTTGCTTTGCATATAGCTGGTGCTAAGTAAATACTTGCTGAGTGACAGACGAGCCAAGGAGAGACACCTCCCACCTCGCCTTCCAAGGGCCTCACCAATTCCATTTAAGCCAATGAGGCCATAACGACGGCCTGAGTTTAATTCCAGTTTGGTGTCACTGAGCAGCTCTTGACCATGAAAGGTGAGGGAGAGGTTGATAATGTGGGCATCAGTACTGTTGGGGTGAGAGGCAAGGACACCGGTGACAGCGCGAGCAGCAGCTTTCTTCATCTCAAAGTCCTCTAGCTCCTTGGTCAGCAAATCCACTTCTGGAAACAGAAAAGAAGTTTGGGAATAAGACTAAGTCACGTCCTACAGCATTCAGACAGTTCAGTCAGTAGAGAATCCGACTTTTAAACTGAGGGTCCAGGGTTCAAGTCCCTGTTTGGGCATTTGTAGCTTTTGCCCCTTACTCAGGTTACCAAATGTTGTCATATCAAGCCCGAAATGCTGAAAAAGGCATGCCCTGTAGGACCTGGTTCAAGATCGAGTGCAGGTGATTCACATGTTTCACAAGCTTTCAAGAGTGTACAGATCTGCCCTAACACCCTTCTTTCACGTACTACTTTTCACTTCACAACTTGTTCTTTTTTTTTTTTTTTTTTTTTAAACTTTTCTAAGACCAGCGGCAAAGCAGACTTTATTTCTGCTTAGCTACCTATTGCTGAAACGTGTAAGCCAGGCCTAAAGAGAACATACAAAAAAAATAGAAAATATTAGAAAACATTTTCTGGCACCTTTTCAGATTTCCTAAGATCATGTCATTTTGGCATTTTCTTCCCATAAACGCGACCAATTAAATCACAGCACAAAAGAGAAAAACATTGTGTCAAGGCAGGGCAATAACAAAACAAAATATCAGCTTCTTTAAGAAATGGAAATATACATACGCAGGTAAATAACCCATAATAAGCAAAAGCCTCAATAGAATCACAACTTGCTCTTTTAATTCTAACCTCTCTTGTTCCTTTTTTTTAAATGTTTATTTTTGAGAGAGAGATAGAGAGAGCACGAGTAGGGGAGGGCAGAGAGAGGGAGACAGAGGATCTGAAGTGGGCTCCACACTGACAGCAGAGAGCCTGAGGTGGGGCTTGAACTCACAAATGCGGGATCACGACCTGAGACGAAGTCAGTTGCTCAACCAACTGAGCCACTTAGGGGCCCACTTCTCTTGTTCTTAAATGACATAAACGCATGAGGGGAATGGCTAGAACTCTCAATTTTCCTCCATAAGTATGTGTTAAAGAATTAGTCCTAAAACCTAAAAGCAGACACTACAGAAGTGCCATTCTCTTATTCCATGACCTACTGGAATTCCATACTCCAGATATACTTCTCAAAGTTTTTTACTTATTTGAGAGAGAGAGAGAAAGAGAAAGAGAGAGAGAGTGTATGCACATGTGTATGCAAGCAGGGAGGGGCAGAGAGGGAGAGAGAATCCCAAACAGGATCCACGCTGTCAGTGCAGAGCCTGAGTTCAGAGCCAAATGCAGGGCTCGAATTCATGAACCATGAGATCATGACATAGGCTGAAATCAAGAGTCAGATGTTTAACCACCTGAGCCACCCAGGTGCCTCCAGATATACTTCTGAGCAGCACAGAAGGGACCAGTGTGAGAAAATGCACAAAGGGATCAACACAGGCAGAGCCACGGCTGGGAAAACCAGACGCTCCCAAATCTGGAGGGTTTAAAAGATGCAAACTGACCATGAGCTGTTGTGCCTTGGTGGTTTTTCAGGCATTACTACATCTTAAGCCTGGGAAGAACTATCACTATTAATGGCTAAAAATGTTGCGTTTACTCTGTGCTACCCCATCGTTCTCCATCTATCTTAATCCTTACAACACGTAGGAGATACACACTGACAATCCCGGTTTTGTAAGTGAAAAAGCCAAGTAGCACAGCCAAGGTCGCAAAGGCTAGTTAGCAACAGAGCCAGAACTTGAACCAGGTGACCTTAACTATGTCACTATACTACCTTTCCATAAAGAAAAGTGCCCATAAAGTATTACTGAAAGTGGGACAGAAATGGGGGTGGAAGGAGTCCCAGTAAGCTTCTTCGAAAAGAGTAAGGCAATTTATGTACGTTTTAAGGAAGCAGTCAGAAACTACACATGAGGTTCCGCTACTATGAGAATGTGCTGATTTTTAAAAACTTTAATGTTTATTCATTTTTTTGTGTGAATGTATTGTCAAATTGGTTTCCATACAACACCCAGTGCTCATCCCAACAGGTGCCCTCCGCAGTGAATCTGCTGATTTTTTAGTCTTTGTTACCCTTACCTATGTTCCCTTAGTGACTTCACAGAATCCTTGGAATGAGAAGAGTGTGTGCTTGTCCACAGGAAAAATAAAGACAGGGTAGAGGGGTGAAGACAGCTGTCTCCTGGGGGAGAGCAGCTCCACGGGAGAGGGTGTGTGGTGGTTAGTCACGGGTCTGAATACCTGAATACCCCATCCTGTGAGATGATTACGAGCTGGTGCTAAACCTGCTCTGCCTTCAAGGAGCCAACACTTGGGCAGGGGCTGCCCCACTAGACAGCTGGCGGGCACTCTGTCTGCAGCTCTGGGTACAGTGTTAGAAATAAGTGCTTGATGAGTACTTTTTGAATGGAGATCAAAGTTTTTGTTTTGACTCGCATGAAGGAATTTTCAGTCTCTTTTCTACACGGTTGAGTTACCAGACTTCCCACAACTCCGATTCTTGCCAATCCCTATTCCGGATGCTGAGAAGACAGAGTAGGAAGAAGTTTCTGATCTAGATCAGGAGTTGGTAAACTTTTTCATGAAGGGCCAGATGCTAAATATTTTAGGGTTTATGAGCCAAGTGGCCAAATCAAGATATGTGAAATGTCACCACTTTAAAAATGTAGAAAACCATTCTTAGCTTGGGGTTGGGATGGAGGTTAAAAAAAAAAAAAAGGCTGGCCAGATTTGGCCAACAGCATGTTTTTATAAAGTTCTATTGAAACACAGCCACACTCATCATTTATATAGTGTCTAAGGCTGCTTTCACTACAATGGCAGAACTGAACAGCTGCAACAGAAACCATATAGCTCACGAAGCTACAAATATTTACTATCTGGATCTTTACAGAAAAAGTTTGCCGACCCCTAGTCTAGATCTCCATCTGCTCAGGCAAGAGGAAGATCAAAACTAAGGGAAAGCTAATATACCATTTTCTCTTGATCTCTTCAAGTTGACAGCATTATGACCTAAGTCATCTCCTAAGCTTCAAAAGAAGGAGACTTAAACAGACCTCATTTTCCTAGCCTACAGCATCCCAGAAAACACTTGTCACTTAAAGACAAATGAACAGCACTGAATAAATGGAAAAGGGATTTTGAAAGAAACTTCATCACGGAGAACATTGTAGACTTCACAAGAAGTCTCTTTCTACTTCCTTCCCAACAAGAGGACCAGCTGAACTCCAGTGCCTGTCTTGACGAGTCTCACATTCTAAAGAAGGTTAATCTGTCAAAAGTCACTTTCTTTGACATACATCTCGATCTTTCCATACCTTACTACCTAAGGAAGACTGTGTGGCAATGGCAATCAGTAAAGGTTGGAGAACGGTAACCTGTAGCATCACGTAATCTCAAACTCAGGAGAGAGGACCCAGTCTTGGGACAGGGAGCAGAAATGACACAGGTCCCTGGCAATAAGAAATGTTTTGAGGGGCACCTGGGTGGCTCAGTCGGTTGAGCATGTGACCCTTGATTTCGGCTCAGGTCATGATCCCAGGGTCGTGGGATCGAGCCCTACGTTGGGTTCTGTGCTGAACACGGAACCTACTTAAGATACTCTCTCTCTCCCTTCCTCTGCCCCTCTCCTCCACTCATGCTAATAAAAAATTGAAAAATTGAAAGACAGAAAAAAGTTTTGAGAGGGCTGGAAAGAAAACAAAGGTCACATTTCAGAACAGTAGCTCCCTGAGGAAGCAGGTAAAAAAAAAAACCAAAGATCTATTACTGAGATGGGGATTCCACAGCTGGGTTCCCTGAAAAAATCCCATTTTCCAAGGAGCAAAGAAAGGTAAACAAGATATTTGTGATGGGAACAGTGGACAATAGTCTCAAGAGGGATGCACTTTGCCACCTCTCCGATTCAGCCAGAATAACTGATGACATACCTACAGAGCTGATGGCAGACATTGCTTAACCGTGCTTCCTGAGGGCCTGGACAGGACCGAGCCTCTCTAAAACAGAGGTCACAACTCAGCCTGCTCATCCACACTCCCGTTATTCTCAACTTGGCAATCCTCCACTACTCCAGCCCGGAATAAAATTTCCCCATGGCCTGACCTTCCTGAACCAGCTTTCTCCCATAATTCTTATTTTGGAGACAATTCCTACCACTCAGCTCTCTCTCCATCACTTTTAACTCCCCCTTTTCTGAATTCCTATCTGTTACGACTTGTATTAGTAATTCCGCTCTCCTCTTCAAACATTTACATAGTATCTCAGTCTGCAAGGTTAGTCCTGTCACCGAAGACACATGGTCCCTGCACTCAAAGGGTAAACAATGTAAAGAAACACAAGAGACAACATAAAAAGTAACACCATTGGGGCACCTGGGTGGCTCAGTCGGTGAAGCGTCCGACTTCAGCTCAGGTCATGATCTCACGGTCCGTGAGTTCGAGCCCCGCGTCGGGCTCTGTGCTGACAGCTCAGAGCCTGGAGCCTGCTTCAGATTCTGTGTCTCCCTCTCTCTCTGCCCCTCCCCTGTTCATACTCTGTCTCTCTCTGTCTCAAAAATAAATAAACGTTAAAAAAATTAAAAAAAAAAAAGTAACACCATTAAGACAGCATAGGGGTATAGTGAATGGTACTACTTTAAAGGCCAGGTTTGATGGGGGAAAGGTTTTGCTATCCTGAGCTAGGCCCTAAGAAAAATGTCAAATGTAGCTACTCGCGCAAAAATCGTGGTATTAGAACTTTAGTGTAAAGGGACAAAAATTACTAGTGAAGGGACAGTAACAGTCCGGATGGAGCGGGTCTGTTCAGGGAATCTTCAGAGGGACAGAAAAGGAGGCTGGGAACAGACTGTCAAGGGCCTGGAAAATTCTGTATCACACACTGCCACGTTTCCTTAGCTGGACCGTAAGTCAGCAGATGGTTCATCGTGCGTCGGCATGGAGCGCGGTGCCCAGCACTTGAGAGGTGCTCAATAAATATTTCCCCAAATATAAACAACAGGAAAGCATCTCTTTGCTAGGAAAACTCCATGAAACAGTTCCTACGTTTCTCTCTTGGGACAGTCACTACCCCTGGAAGGACAGAGGTACAACGTGGCAAAGAACCTGGCGCACTGACCACCGTGTGCACAAATGCAGGAAACTGAGAAAAGGGCAAGGAAATGACCTCCTGCTCCCAGTGCAGCGCCCGGAGCAGCAAGGCAGCACAACACCCATAGATGTGTTTGCCACTAGCTACGTGAGAACCTTGTGTCCAGCCTCCCTGATCAATAACAAGAAGGCACGAGCTGCCACTCTAATTGGTTCGGTTCACTGTGACAAGTTCTGCGGCACCAGACTTATCCTCCAGGGCCGCCAGCGTCGGGGCTCTGGCTCGGGCTTGGGGAATCCGTCCGTCCATCCATCCATCCATCCATCCATCCCAGGAGCCCACCTCTCCCTCCATTCACCTGTGGTCTCTCGGCCATTGGCCTCATGTTTCTCCTCTGCCACCTGTGGTTCTGTGACAGCGTCTCCGTTCTCCTCGTGGCCCTTCCTGGGCCGCTGTCGCGCTTTGGCAGCTTCCTTCTTTTTGGCCGCCTTCTTCTTGGCCAGGTCAGAGGGCATGGTGATGAACCACAGGGGGTACGAAACTGTTCTTAGGGAGCCTGCAGGGAGGCAAACGGCCCCAAAAGTCTCAACTGGCGACGGAATGCCTGGGCCCTGCCCCATCCCGCTCGGGAATTTTCCCATCGAGCTGCCGAGCCCCAGCTCCGCCCATGCCTCGCCGCTCCCCATTTTGCCAGGGTCTCCCAAGCCAATTGTGGTCCCCGGCCGCTCTTCTAATCTTAACATCTCTTCCCTCAGGCTCCGTCCACCAATCCCCACGGGCTGCCTCGCTCTGGAAACGCTCCTCCTTTCACGGCCTCCAGTCAAGGACCAGGTTCTGCCCCCGCGGCAGAGATCCTCGTCTCCGGTTTCCCCACAACTTGGCGCTCCGCGCTCCAGCCGGCCGCCTCGCTTTGCCGGGCTTCCTCCTCCCGTCCGCCTCAGGCCTCCTCTCCGTGGTCCCCCCCTCCACGCCACCTAGCCGTCGGGCCCAGCTTCTTCCCGGGACGCGCTCGGCTTCCCCTCGTGAGTCCCCTCAGGGTCTCCTCACTCACCATCCCCTGAACCTCCCCCGGCCCCCGCCCGTCAGCGTCTCTCCCTCGGCCCTTTCTTCTCCTTCGCAGCCTCCTCCATCTCGACCCCGTCCCTCCTCCTTCTCTTCTTCCCTCCCCCGCCTCACCGGCCAGCACCCTCCCCCCGGCGCCCCTTCCCCCAACTCACTGGGCCTCGCCGCTCGGCCTCTGTCGCAACAGAGCTGCTCCTTGGGCTCCTCCGCGTGCGGCCGGCTCACCAGCCAATCACGGCATCGCGCGGCTGTCGGCGCGCCGCCGCGCAGGATCCTGGGAAGTGTTGTTCTCCAGTCGCGGCGGCCGGGGGGGAGACCCCTCCTCGAGAACTACCGCCTGTGGCAGGGGCCTCCCCGGCCCGCGTGATGTCATCAGGCGGCGCGAGGCCGGCGGGGGGAGGGGGAGCGGGATTAGTGTCCGGGAACCCGCAGCCAGCCTGCCCGCTTCGGGCCCTGGAAACTGCAACTCCCAGACTGCTCCTCCGGTAAGGGGCTGGGCCTTCCAGGCTTTACCCCACCTCTCGAAAAATCTGTCGAGTTCTGTGGAGGCACTGAGTTCTTAAGGGCCGCGCAGCCGGCCCAAACAGCAGGGCGACGGACTACACTTCCCAGCAGGCATCAGGAGGGAGTGGGTCGAAACAATGGGAGAGAAGAGGAGGGAGGTGGAGGGAGAAGGAGGAAGAGTGAAGCGGCTGGGAAGAGGCGGCCCGAATAGGAGGCGCATCACTACGAAGATGATGCGAAGAACAGAAATCCCTAAAAGAAAGGCGTCCTCGTTTTATGGAACTGAGATCTTAGAGGCTGGTCTAGTGTTAGCCAAACTTTTAGAAGGTGCCGGACGTTCTTCCTGAACGTTGGCCGCTTAGCCTACACTCTCTAGAATTGTTAGATTCCCATCAAACCCGTGTAAGTCTGGTGGTAAGAGCTCTGAAGTTAAAAAAAAAAAACAAAAAACAAAAAACCATTTCCTGAGTTCAGCGGTATCATTGGTTAGACATGTAACCTTGCCCGTTAGTTTTCTTTTGAGTCTTACTGTTTAAAATCCCTCAGACTTCTCACCTACATTGTAACCCCCAAATTTGTAGCCTCAAATACAAGGAAGGCCCTTTGTGACTGACCCTGTTACTTCTCCAGGCTTCTGATCAGCGGTGCTTCACCATCAAGGACACAGCTGGAGCGAGGCAAAATGAAGCTTTTACTCCTTTCGAGCACATTCTCCAAATTGCCCTACCCGAGTTAAAAAACAAAAACAAAAACTCACTCCTCTCTCCAGAGAACTAGTTTTCCTCTTCAAACTTGATGCTTCAGTAGAATCTACTTGTATTTCAGGGGCGCCTGGGTGGCTCAGTTGGTTGAGCATCTGACTTCAGCTCAGGTCATGATCTCACAGTCTGTGAGTTCGAGCCCCGCATCGGGCTCCGTGCTGACAGCTCAGATCCTGGAGCCTGTTTCGGATGCTGTGTCTCCCTCTCTCTCTGACCCTCCCCTGTTCATGCTCTGTCTCACTCTGTCTCAAAAATAAATAAACGTTAAAAAAATTAAAAAAAAATCTACTTGTATTTCAATTAAGCCGTGCCATTTTATAACTTCATGCCTTTGAGCGTAGCTTTTTCTACAAGACCCTCCACCAATTAAGTGCCCACTGTGTGTTAGGCTCAGAGCTAGATGCTGGAGTTGCAATGGAAACAAGTTATTCCCTGACCTCAGGGAGCTCACGATTAAGAAGGAACATTGAAAGAGTAAATGGGTGCCTCGGTGGCTCAGTTGGTTAAGCGTTGGACTCTTGATTTTGGCTGAGGTCACGATCTCGTAGTTTGTGAGATTGAGCCCCATGTCTGGCTCTGTGCTGTCAGCACATAGCCTGCTTAGGATTTTCTCCCTCTGCCCCTCCCTGGTGCATGAGCTCTATCGCTCTCTCTCTCTCAAAATAAATATACACTTAAAAAATATTTAAAGAGTAAACAGTCCATGACATTCAGGTGATAAGTGCCATAAAAGAAGTGACTTATGCATGCTGTTCGAGTATGTAGGTGGGGCTCACTTGACATAGCATAACTAAGACCATGAATTCTGGGAGCAGACTGCCTT